CCCGGCCGCGGAGCCCCCCGGGTCGCGCAAGGAGGGAGCGAGGCGGAGCTCGGCGCAGCGCCCTTTATTCGGTGAACACGCGCGCTGCCTCCCGCGGGGCTTCTGCCCGTGAGTATTCTCCTTAATACACATGACAGTGGTTAGCTATACACACACACGCGCGCGCACGGCTGTGTTTCCGGAGCTTGCTTTTGTGGTCTTTGCAGTGCGTGGCTGCCAGACTCCAAAATCCTGTGAAGTGTAGAGGTGCTGTTATACCAGGTACATTTTAGACAGTAGTTTTGTATCACTGTAATTGAATATTCAACAGAGAACATACTTATCACTTAACTCTCACTAGCAAAAAGCTCCCCAAATAAAGTTGTTTTGCTAATGTAAGAATATATCAAATCACCACACAGATGGCAACAGCAACATTTTAAAACAAGGTAATTCACATACTGAAGCACAAAGATTATAGTACCACTGCTGTTTAAAATATCTGAGTACTGTTTAATGGCTGGAACAGAAAAAAAGCACAATATAAAACTCACTGTAGTTACTTCCCTATCCAACTGCAGCTCACAGCTAACCATACACTGTTGCAGGAAGAGTGGATTATTCTATAAATAATGTTTTGATAGCATTTGAGGATTTAAAAAACTCGTAATGTATTTTGCTGCTATAAATATAATGCTTATATGTTGTGTTTCAGTCACAACTTTTGCACAATCAGTACAGGTTGATGGCGAGTGAGCCCATGAGTGCAGTGCCCCGAGAGATGCACTGCACTGCAAGGACGCACTCAGCTTTTGATGGAAGTGCACAGCTGCTTACCAAAAGGTATGTCCTAAGATACTGGGAATTGTAAAGGGAAGCGCAGCATCACATTTATGCAATTTAATGTGTACCTCAGAAAACCACAAAAGCAGAAACGGCTGCGTCTGTGCGGTGCGCGTGCCGCGAGGAGGCTCGGCGGCGAGGCACCCCGCGGCCCCGGGGAGCGACACCACGCAGCTCCGAGCAACGAGGCCCTTCCCCTGGTGCCGCTGGAGGCAGGAGCTGCAGGCAGAGCCTGGCAGGCACCGGCAGGCAGGCCGCACACACGCGAGACTTCCTCCATCCTCTGATGTTGTAAGGGGACTGCGGGTTCCTTCGCGCGGGCCTCTCGACAGGGCAAGAAAGCCTTTCGAACGTGAGAAACGGGTGGGACAAAACAACTGCAGCATGTTGTCCGCAGCTGCTAAGACCTGCTTTTTGTATCGAAACACAAGGGAATTTTTTTTTCTAGGGTCAAGGAAACACTTGTATCGGTTATTTCCAACTTATGGAAAATATCTATAAAACAGTAAAAAATAAGTGAATGAGATGGAATAAGTATTCTGTATCAATGCTAATGAATGTGTATCACAATAATATTTAAAAGTTGAAATGTATTGACACAGAAAATTAAAGTCAAATGTTGAATATATTAATACACACAGCTGTATTTTGAAGCTAATCTATTTTTGTTGTGCCTCAAATTCAAATATAAACCTACAAATCTCCATAGCCTCTGTTATAAATTAAACAACTTCTAAACAATATTTGTCAACATTCAAATCTGAATAGACTTTGGCAGCTCTTTGGTTAATACTTATAAATATCAATTAACAAAACAGCAAAAAGGGAGTGGGAAGTCTACCAAGAGGGAGCCTTGGTTTTTAAATTCCTCAAAGGGGAACAGAAGTGAAAGAGCTCCCTAAGCAAAAACTATTTCCAAAATTGGTATATTTTATTGAGATTGGTACTTTTTCCTTTTTTTTTTCTTCTATCCATTCAAATACTATTACATCTGGATATCAATAAATTTCATCTTTTTTTTTGTGCTCTACCATATATACATATTCAAAATTTATACACAAACCATAGTGGCTGCTCATGAGTAGAGTTAGGCTTCAGTGCATTTGACAGTTATTGCACACAGAATAATCTCAAATGCCCAATTATTCTACTGGATAAATGTAGCAACAAATATAACCTCTTATATTTTTGAACATCTATCTTTCTGTAAAATCTTGCGTTGGTGACGCCTTGGGTGCTGAAGAAGCAAAAGGATCTGCAGGGGATCTGTTGCTGGTTATTCTTGATGGCAAAGGAGGTGCAGGTGGTCTTCTTGCTGGCAATGTGTAGAAGCAATCTGTAGAGCTTTTATTCCAGTCATTACCAAAGGTAAAGTCTGAGCCAAGAAAAGTATTTTGTTCAGTGCCCAGCAAATCCGGAGATCCAGCTGACCTCCTGGAACTGATTTGCTTAAAATCTGGAACACTTTTAGATGGCTTTAGCTTTGCATTGAAATTCTCCTCCTCATCATCAAACGTTACCCATCCTTTTGGCTGTATGCTCTTTTCCACGGAAGATCTACTTTGCAAGCAAAAACTGTTTTCAAATACGTCAACAGAAAACACAGGCTTGCTTGTAGTACGAGTGGGGGGACGTAGCGAGGGGAAGGGATTACAAGCGGTGCGTCCCTCTAGGATACGTGAAGCTACTTCAGATTCTTGGGTTTCTGTTCTAAAGGGGTTTCCAGCATTTGGAATTCTTTCGGTGAAGGGATTTGTGCAGTTCAGTCCAGTAGCGAACGGATTTGGAGAGCTGCGCGTGTGCTCCTGGGATGTGTTAGAGGTCGGGAGAGGAGGCATTGCTGGCATGCAGTTTGCAAGGTTCAGGGTATCAGCTTGTCTTTGCGTTGCAGAAGGCAGCTGCATCAGCTCCTTTTGGTTTGAAGTTGGAACGGGTGATGTTCGAATGGATGTCTGCATCTTTGACACAAGCAGCTTAAATGACAAATCTTCAAAGGGGTCAGTGTTTAACTGTGCCTCAGGCTTAGTGCCACACGTTCCATTGGTCTTAATCTGGAAAGATAAAAAGGTGCTTAATAATCGTGTGGCTGTTTTTTTCTTTAAGATTCTTAATAACTCCCATTTCTCACTGTTCTACGAGAAGAAAAGCAGCTCTTAGCCTTAACCTGCAACATCAGTACAACCTGGTTGCAACTTGCACAATGCACTTGTATAAAACAACTGCTTCTTTTCAGGAAAACATTAGCCCTTAACTTCTTTGCTAAAGAAAATCTTACTAGTTGTTAAACACAACTTATCCTCCTTGAGTCTACTTCATGCAACTCAGAGTTCTAGTAAAAGCACATCCATCATATCTGAAAAATCTTAAAGAAATCTGGAAAATTATGCTGCATTCTAAACAACTGATAACTGAGCACAGATAAAGAGTAAAAAGCTCTAGCCTCATTGCCTGAGATTTTATAAAGCTGATGTTACAAGCAATTTTTAATCATCACAATGAAAGGAAAAATTAGTGTTATTAGTATTTGCATTTTAGGCATTTTTATGTAGACATATGCATTTGTAGATATCTTCTGTGTTTCTTGATTATGTGCAATCATCAGCTTTGAGGATTTGACTTTTCTTAAAAAACAAAACTTATATTTTAAGAATCATCTTTTTAAATGGCAAGTTATCATTGTTTAGAATAATACCAAATGGCAAAGACACCGTTTTCTCTATGCAACTTCCTCATCTTTTAAAAACAAAATATTCCTGTTTTTATAAATTTCTTCAAATAACAGCGCAACTTTTATATCTTGCTGCAACTGATCAAAGAGACTGAATATCCACAGTTGTTCAAATACTCGTACTAACAGAGGAGAGTGTGAACTTCCACCTTGTGAAGCTAATGCAATTAAAATAGCTACTATTTCACAAACAAATCCTTCATTTTAATGCGCCATCTCAGTACACCCTTATCTTCTATTTTTCTTTTTTAGCATGAAAAACCTGTCTACTAATGTTTTGTTGAACTGTGACACTAACTAGAACTACCAAGTAAAATAAAATATTATAACAGTTTATCTCCAATCTTTAAACATCTTTTTATTGCATTTACTGTGAACAGTTTAGAGCATGTCTCTCCCCATGCCACTTACTACTAACATGCTTTTAAGACAGTCAGGCCTAATCATAGAAATGGAAGTTTTTCCCAATTTATCTATCCCAGCGTGTTTTTTATTTTTAATTGTAGTTGTAGTTCGAGTGGTTGGCAGCACGAACGAAGTAGCCCATTTGTTCTGTAGCTGCCAAGTGCACACATCCCTGGTGCGACTGCATCAGAGAGCTTCTATCACAGCTGAGGCCTAAATATGAAAATGCTTATACTGAACTACGCTCTGTATATTGTTTATTTATAGGTGTTTTGGAAAACAATATTAAAAGAAAGGAATCAAATAACTAAAAATGGACTGCAGCACGAACATAAATCAAATGTAACTTGGCACAAGCTTTCAAGGTCCTATCTTCAGTAATCAAGTAATCGGGAGGTACAGAATTTCAAAGTAATTATTAACCCCAACTGCTCTTTAACTACAAGTGAAAATTTGGTCTCAAAAGATCCTGGAACCAAATGTTTTTAAGTTGTCCAAAGCATAAAGTTCCAAAGCTTCCTAAGTGTAAAAAACAAACAAACAAACAAACAAAATATATTTTACTTTGGGTAAAAGTAACTTCTCTATTGTTTGAGAAAGGTGAAACATGGGATTTACTCTGAAAAAAATTAAGACTGCAGTTGCATCAGGATTCATTTGTATTAAGGAGAAATGTTAATTCCAACAGCTATTCTTTTTTTTTTTTTTTCCCTCTCAAATAGACTCAATCAACAGGCTCAGCAACACAGGTAAGATTTCAGTTGTTTCATAAAAGATGATGAAGCAAAATATTTGCTACGGTGCTAGTAGACACAGTTAACAGTACTGATTTTTATTGCATTATGAAGAGAAAAAAAAGCAGACTATGGTATGATAGTCAATTCATTAATGTGGACAGGTGGTTTTGACGTGATGAGACTGCAGATGTATGAAGACAAGATTCATACATCTTTTCTGCTTGAATAGATGGAGACCACATACAAGATTGGTAAATAGTCAGATACCTGTTACCCTGACGGTTGCTCCTGCTTGTGAAAGAGAAACAGACATCAAAGGAAAGAAAATTAGGAAGAAAATCCAAGTAACACATCAACCACCGCATGTTAAAATATTTTAAGCTCGAGGAAGAACATTTTTGGAGATTTGAATACAAAGCAAAAACATTTACTATGCAACATACACTATAATAAATTTTAAATTTCTGTTGCATTCTACTGCAATGTTTTTTAAGATTTACCTTTAGGAATCAAAAAAACCCACCTCTAGTGATTTTTATTCTTATTTTTATACTGACATTAACAGGGCAGATAACTGGTGCTTATTTTCAGAGATTCTAAGAATTTGCCTATGTAACTCCAAGCATTAACAGAAAAGCACTGGAGTCTTACTCTGAGAACTGCATTGGTACAGTCACCCTCTGTAGAAATAGTTCCAACCTGAAAAGCTGTAAGATTTCTCTAACACAATGTAAATTTCCCTCAATTTACAATAAACAAAATCGCTCAGTTATTATTTATTTGCTTTGCTTTTTTCAATATGTTGCTTGGTAATCTACAAAGTCCTGAACAAGCACACTGTATACCATGAATTATTTTTATAAGGAGAGATTTAGGTTCTTAAGTATCATAGTCAAGCTTTGAATCGAAGGATGGGTTTAGCTTCCATTAACCCTCAAAATATATATTTTTATCTCCCTAAAAGGCCTCTTCTTGGAAAACTTCCTATTTACAAGTGGTAATCAAGAAAGGAAAAGTGATTTAATTAAACTCTGAAAAAAGGAGAAAAAAATCCCAAAATCTAACATGGAGGCAATAAGGAAAGTTCAAAACAGGCCTTTTTTTTTTTTTTTTTTACTCCCTGTTGTGAAAGCAGGGCCTTCATTAATAAAATGAATGTCATTACAGAGAAAAGAATAGCTATTTGAACCATTTTAAAACTAACTGGCTTTGGCACTGTTAACAAAACAGTCACAGCATCATGCAGATCAGAAAATCTCTTTAAAAAGCTTTCAGGTTATTTCCTGTACCTTGTGCCCCATATGTATTCTCTACTGGCAACACTTTCTACGCTTTAATAAACTGCAGCCTTAATATTCTACTTGTACATTCAGAAAAACACCTCTATTTTTTTCCCTTTTAAGTTTCCAAAATGAGGTTAAAAGCAAAGTCATGAGGACTGAATTTGGCTGTTTCAGGTTGGTACAGATGCTCACTAGTTGCTTCAGTGAAAGTGTCCTTAAGATATATAGAGAAGGTAAAATCTGAAACACTGATGTGAAACCTATTTAGTAATAAATATCCATACTGAGTATGTGTTAAAAAATCCAAAAAGCAAATTCATTCTTGATACAAACTTAACACAAATCTATCAGCTTCAGAACTTGCAGTTTTATTCATGTAGAAGATAATCAATACTGTAAAAACCGGAAGCCCTCACTTTTGGTGAAGGAATTTAACCCGTTGTATATATAAAATACACAGAAGATCTACTTCTATATTTTTTAAATAGCAGTAAGAAACAACATGTTTCCCTAAAAAAAAAGTGCTTTTTTTTCTGAAAGCAGCACTTCAAACGGTTCCACAGCACAGAATATTAATGTTATCATATCACATTTTCAGATTATTTTGATACATTTTATGATTTAATTGACACTGGGGAGTGGGGAGGATAAGTGCACTTCCTTTAGGTAAAGTAAGTGATTAAGTAATTGTCATCCCTCAATGAATTACCATGAACATAAAGCATCACATGCTCTCTCATGAGATCTATAAAGCTTACTGGATAATTAAAGGCCTGTTAGTTTCTACAGATCTCAGTTAATGCACTTGTGTTACGTAAGCTTAAATAACTTAGATTGTGTATTTTTCTGTATAGAGTTGTCAAATGACCACATAATTGCAGGAACAAGTTGTCTGTAAGTTCTAAATCTGTCATAACAAATCTTCAGTTAAATGTTCAGCACTTAGGATACCATTCACAGACAATATAAAATATTTTGAATATCATCTCATCAGAGCCTGCTGATCTTTGGATCCAGTCTTTCAACCTTCATTTCTGCTTCTGTTTGCTTGCTTTAGGGGGCTCTCACGTACATATGGCATACAGTGCAAGCTGTGTGAATTTGCATGAAGATGCAACATACATAAACAAGTGTTTTTTTACTCACTTGCTGCTGTGAAGGAGCAGATTCAGAAGGCAAACTGTGAGCTGATCTGCTACGAGGCGGTGGCTGCGGGGGAGGCTCCAGAGCATGCGGGGTACTCGTCTGGGATGGATGTGCCGACACAGGGATCAGGGGCTCTTGCATCCTTAGGACAGGTGGAGGCTGCGTGCTGGGTGGAGAAGGTCCCACAGCCTGAGGCTTTAGTGGTTCAGGAAGTAACGGCGAGCCTGCAAGGGTATTTTCAGTGCTTTTCATTGGAAAGAATTGTAACAAAACCATACAACGGGGATGAATGAGAATATGTGGGTGTGGAAGCATCAAGTAGAATTGCAGAAAAAGGACGGTAAGAATGGCAAGTATTCGTGGCAACTAGTTCTCAAAAGCCCATCATCCCCTCACATCTACAATAAAAATGACTATTATAGATACAATAGAGCTTACTATAGATAAAAAAAAAAAGAAATAGCATTCAAGCAATTTTTAAATGTACTTCGGTTGTATTTAAATATATTTTGGAAGTCACTCTTATAAGAAGTATGTTTTGAAATTAATACACTGAGAAAAAAAACACTTTATCTTCTAGTTTAGAAAGTGTCTTTGAAAGTCACATATAAATACTCTTCCAAAAATAACGATTATGGAGTGACCACAGTGAAGAAATGATTCAGGGATCAACCTCTATGGTATGACACACCAATATGCCCAGACCAGAACCCACGGATCAAGGAGTTCTCTTGATGGACTGAAATTGATCTTCTCTGGAGATCAGAGGATTAGATCTCCTCTGACTTCTGCCTGTTGCCATGTAAGGGTTTACAGCACCAGAAACTGCCAAGTGTTACTGTATTGAAGAACCTTGATTTCTAGTGAAATAAGAAAGCCAGTGGAAGCATTAAAATCAGAGAGTACCTCTAGACTGGGTAATGACAGCCTAACGATATGTAACTGAATCTTGCACATTATTTATCCTTCAGAATAAATAAAACTTACCCCTTGGTGGTTCAGCGGGTTTGGCCTGAGTTTCAGATGCTGGTCTGCCCCCGGACATGGCTTTGTGGTGCACTAATAACTCCAGCTCGAGGTGGAATAGTCTAAAATAATCATTGATAAAAAGAAATCATTTTCATTCTACTATGGATCTATTGTCATTTACTGCTAAATGACTCAAGGAAATTAGGATTCTTTGAAAAACAAACTGTTTTATAACAGTTACTATTTTTATGTGTAGATATAAGCAAAGAGTATTTTAACAAAACATTATTCAAAGCAAGTAATTTCTATAACCGACTTCAAATTTATATTTAGCAGTGCAGGAACTTGAATCTAATTAGTTCAGAAATTACCACATTTATTATTTTCATAGAATTAGTAAATGAATTATACCTCAGTCTGTGAATCGTGTTAAGCAATAAAAAGCAGCAGTGTTATTTGGGGATGGAAAACATATCATACGAATGCATTAATAAACTACTGTCAATAAAAATTATAGATACTGTATAATTTTTAGACTGTAATTATAACCTCCATTTGCAAATAGCAGCTGCATTAAACTTTATATATCAAAGGTACAAGATATGCATTAAAAACAGACTTTTTTATTTTTTCTAACACATTTGCCTGTCAGAAAAAAAATGATCGCAAGGCAAGATCATGTTTGCAAGATTTCTGTTTTCTCTAAAATTTATGTCCTTGATTTATTCATGTTTATTAACATTCCTACAACTTTGAGCAGTAAGAACAGATGTCCTAACAACGGCTTTCAAGGGAAACCCTACTACACAATTCTCCATAAAAACAGGTTAGAAAAACAAAGAAACCCTACCACTCCATACCAATGGCCATCCTTGATCCTCCTTGCTCATTATGGATATCATACTCTAAATGCATGCACTGTATAACTTCTGACTACAGTGGCCTTGGCTGAATCTGTTTACAACTTGCTAAATGCTTCACGCTACCTAAACCTCTGAAATCTCTTCTTTTTGACTGCCAGGATGCATGTGGTCATTCCTTTTCCTTTGGATGTTGAGAAGGAAGGCAGAAGTATGTGGAATTCAACTCCAAGATGTATACCATAGAAATATCTCCGTACAACGGTAACAAAAGAGGAACAGAAACAAAGGTTAAAATAATCCTCAGAGGCAACTTCGCGGGAAGCCCAGCATTGTGTGGCTACTGTCCCTGGTCCTGAAAGTCTTCTACATTAAATGCTATGCAAAAAAAGAAAAAAAAAAAAAAAACAAACACCTGAAGAAAATGAAAAAACAAACAAACAAAAAACCCACAGGAATCTCAGCTTGGAAATGTGGAGACAAGCTAAAGTCTGAGAAAATAATAATAATAATAATATAAAAAAGCAGATTTCATGAGATGTCTTTTCAGAGCCTCTAAATGGTATTGCTTTTTTTTTTTTTTTTTGATTTTAACATGTGAAGAGGAGTAGATCTGGTCAACTTTGTCTCAGCAAGCCGCACACACAACCACAGAACTGTGGCCTTTTCTAGGAACTGGCCGGCACCTCTACCATTAGCCAGCCTGGGCACTGAGCAGCACAGTGCTAGCAAAGGGCACTGGGGTTTTTTTTTCTTGTTCATCTGAATAATCTGCATCTGGTTCATTCCAAGATAGGGATTTTGTCTTTTCTATGTGCCAGATGGTTCTATTCAATCATTTTGGTTTAGAAATGGCTGATGCTGAGTGAGCTCCAAGTTCCAGAAAAGAGAGATGGGGGCAAAGAGCTTTCTTACCCTGTGCTACACTGAGTTCACTTCCTCCAAAATTGAGAAGAGTGCCTGTTACATTTCTGGGATAATAATGAAGTGCAAAGATAACATCACGTCAGAGACCACGCACTGCAAGAATCCATCTTTTTTAAGAAAAATCAGTTAGCACTGAGTGATTTTGATGGCAGCTTTCAACAGCAGTTTTCAATCCCTTCAATATTTTACAACACTACAAGAGAAATAGCAGGATCAGCAAAGCACAACTCCTTTAAGCCCTTTTGGCTCCCTGTGCTCCCCATCCTGTCAGCATCACTATGAGCACCAGACCAAAAGGAAGAGCCAAATGCCTAAGAGAAGGAAAATAAAGTTCTCTAACTGCTAAGAAAATGATAAGAAGCTACTTAAAAATTTAAATAAATTAATCAATTTTTGCCACTTTTTAGTCTCTAAGACACCAAAGAATAAAGAAGTATTATGTATGTCAAAAAGAGCAGACCTGCTACAATAGGGGGAACAAAGTGTGTCCAGACACTGTGGTTGATGTAGATATAGAAAGTTAATTTTTCAAGCTGCTGAAAAAAATCTCTCTAAAATACACCGAAAAGTCTAAATAACTATCAACAAACAATAATGTTTCTAAGCAATTATTTAAAAAGACCCACAGCTATTGAAACACTTTCTCCTTTTCTAATGCAAGTTTCCTATTTGCTGCTATTAAGCAAAATAAGGTAGATATTGTCTTCCACTTCTCGATTTCTTTTTTCAGGGAAGTATTCAAGCTTCCATAAATCTTTCATATAGGTCCTTCAGCTGGTTTCATAAATGCAAAATAAAACACAGATATTTGTGCATAGTTGAATGTTTCACTTTTACACGATGAACTTTATCAAAATTGATTGATTAAAATAAGGTACAAAATCCCATTATGAATCAAGAAATCAAGATATATTTTATCAATTGCCTGAGGGCAATCAACCGCTCTCAGGATTCACAGCTTAGCACAGCAATGAGGCATGTAATAAAATATGGAAACTGAGGAGGAAACTTTAAGACAGAATACCTACCGGTCTGGTTGTGCTATATCCAGCAGTTCCTGCACTTGAAAATCCAGTTGAAGGTGGAGCCTGACTACGAACTGTAACAAAGGTATTGGAGACAGCTGACTTAGAACATACATCAATCCCCAACTTTTCTGTATTATTATTACTACAAAGCCTGTACCTGTATTACCTAAATTATCTTTTCTTTGTGTTCCAGGACTTTTTTGTGCTTTGAAGCATGGAAAGAAAAAAAAATCAGATTATCTTCATTAAATCAGCTACAAACTGATATTATATAGTAATCATACATTATCACTAATGGAAATGGGAGCAAATAGACTTTTAAATAGTCATTACAGATTAAAGTCCACTCATAAGCTGAACTGTTACACGGGCACACTCACCCTCAGCATTTACATGCTGATGACAAATCCTCATGTGTGAAGTGCAAGATACGAAATAGCTACCTTTACTTCAGACAAGCGCACAGTCTGGAACAAGCAGAAGAGACTGGGGATTCTGGCTTGTATTTCTGCTGTCTGTGCACAAGGAAGGTAACACCAGCACCCCAGTTACAATAAAAGGAGGAATACTCAGTGGTACCTAAGACACTTGGTTTATCAAATCAGCTTCCTTGTAAGAAAGCAGTGACTTATTAGAAGCAGATGCAGTTTCTGGGTACAGTTCTCAGTAGATAGCAGAGCAACCTAGTCTAGTTCTAGTTTCAGAACCTGCTCCAGTTCACTCTGCTGGGAGCATGGAGGTTGGCCTAGATGACCTCCAGAGCTTCCTTCCAACCACAGATTTTCTGTGAAAATAATAATTTTGTCCATTTAGGAAAAAAAACAACAAGAACAAGCAAACAAATAAACAAACACAACCCCAACAATATAGCCAGAATTATTTATAACTACACGTGAGACGGATTTGATGGTATAATTGTGTCCATAGCAGACTTCCCTTGTTTGCTATACCTATGCTTGCCACAAAGGGTCATGTTCTTGAGGGGTGGGCAAGAAACCCTGAAACAGAGCTCTGGTGGCACTGATAGCGTGGGAGCCACTTAGGACTCCAGCCAGCGTAACACCAGAGAGATGCTTCTCATAAATCTATGTCCCATAGATTTAGGCAATCAAAATACACACATTGTGCTCTTTAAGAGCTGAATTACTAAATAATAGGCTAAATTATCTTAATGGCAATTTATTTCCCCAGAACATAAGGGCATATACAGTTTTTATGAAAAATTAGGCCACCTAGATTTCTGATTTATAGTTACAGATATATTATTTGTTCCAATAGCCAGCAAAAGCCATCAAAATTTAGCAAATGAGTGGACTTCAAAAAAATAAAAAAGAAACACTGTAACTTTCTCTGATGTTCAGCCTTCTTCCTGATTAGTGCAGTCTAAGTTTTCAATGTATTTTGCAGAGATGATCACTGCCTTCTAAAACATTTCACATCATCACTGAAAAGCAGCAAGTAATTTGCCTATCTGAAAACTGTGAAATAAAAAAGATCCTATAAAATAAATGCCTTAATGGATCTGCCTTCAGTATCACAAGGACAATAATGTTACTTAGCTATTAAATCAAAAATCCATTTCTAGAATACGAAAATTGTTATGTTACCTTCTATTTCTCTCCTAGCTACCCCAGGACTGGGAGGAGCTCCAAGACCTTTTCAGAGAAAGAAGAGAAGCTGTACATTGTATAAGAAAAGCAGTAGATTGAGAAAGTAAAAACAGAAAGGACACTGCTACAAGCCAGCTTTACGTAACTGACTGGATTGTAGCTACTTGTAGGAGATAACTGTTCACAGCAGCATAAGAAAAACAGACTGATATGAAAGAGATCAACAAGTAAGCTCATGTTTAGAAACACAGTTGCTTCACTTTTACATCACAGTTAAAAAAAAATCCCTTTTCCTTTTTTTTTTTCCTTAATATCACACTCCCCAAGCTTTTGTAAATACCAAATGTCAATCTTGAAACTTTTGTAAACAGACTCCATACCTATGCTCAAACACCTGAAAATAACTGCATCAGTTATACCCTGCAACATGAAGATGGCTTCCTGTAATTCAGGAGGTCTGTTGTATGTTTCTGCCAATACTACATTTGAAAAATTATGGAATAAATAAGTCTGCCACTTTATATAATGTATTGTACCCTGCAAAAATGTATCATCAAGTTATCTCCAAGCGGCACTTCGTACTTGGGAAAGCTGTATCAACTAGTGCAGAGAATACTTGCAGTAAATTGCTGCAGTTCAGATTGAGAGAAAGAAGATTTTCAACCATGCATAGCTTTGATTTTTGTCAGATATGGGTGGAGGTGTCACTCAGGGTAGGAACAGTGAAGGCTGCAGATGGGGCTGGTATAACTATCTCCAGAGATGTTGAACCTCTGTTTTTGCTAACTCTGAATACAGGCACACGTAATATATTCAGGTGGGTCGAGGCTTTGCCAATTAACCTTACATTTCCATTCCGAAAGTTTATGACAGTGACTTTCCTTGACTGAAAGAGAAGCAGCGCTGAAGAAGGCTGAACAGATAGCGGGAGGGCACTCTCTGAGGACACCTCACTGCTTTCAAGTCCCACCTCTGCCTTCCTACGCAACCCAGAGGAATCCTGGAGGGGAACAGGAAGCGCTAACCTCCAGGCTGTGAGAAGCCCAACTTCCAACTGGAGGAAATAATGGAAGGCAGAGAGCTGCTCAAAACCCTCATGTCACCTCACTAGGAGCAGGGCAATCTCTTGAATCCTTCTGAGCACAGAGGCCTAAAGCTGTCTGTTCATCGGTGGCTATTAACGGAAAGGGGCTCAACGCAACTTCTTGAGGAGCAGAGAACTAGCCTGTTCATCTCACGGATCTGTTGCACTTTCACCTCTGAAAGCTCACCTCATACTTTGAGTAGGTATTTTCAAGATAACCTCACATTTTATGCAAGATGATTAATAAAGTACTCCTTTCAAGAGAAGGTAGGGAGAGAACCTCTTTGACCATAACATATAGCCACGTTCCTCTATTGGAATAGCACACAGAGCAAGACTTCTGTGCATAAAGGCTTAAAATGTTTTGTGAATTAAAAGATACTCATTATATGAGTATTATATGAGTATCTATATGAGTTCCCATATACTGGGAACCTCCAAATGAAATACCCGCAGAAATGGCACATACTGGGAACCTCCAAATGAAATACCCCAATTTCCACTTACTGTGATAATTATTATTACTAGCAAAATTATTGTGTTGGGGTAACACTCTCACAGCTGGCATTACAAGAGGATTTTCATCTTAAAGATAGTGAAAAACATACCTGAAACACATTTTCTGCGTAGGATTCTTAACAGTTACTGTAATTTGCATATAGCTTAAAAGCTCTATTGCAGTTTGAAACAGTGTTTTGCAGATGAAGATATCATATATTTGCTTTACAAAAGTAGCATTTTAAGCAAAGGAGTTAGATATATACAGAAAAAAATCTGTGCCTAATGCCTTGAAATCTTTTAGGTAAAGCTGCATGTTCTGTAAAGGTTACATTTACACATTAGCATAATTGAAAATAAAGCAACTCCAACATCTCATAAAATATGTACATATGTGTGCATGTGTATATGTATATTTCTGAAGTCTAGGTCATATGTCTACATTTGAAGACTGAAATTACTGATTTTAATATTAAAGCTCCTTGTTTCTTCCACACGTAAACAGCATATGATTAATAGCTCGTTGAGTGCATGTACTTCCATAGTTTAACCAACTTGCATTTCTTCGGATATTAACCTTAAAACTCTATTTCTGAGGCTGCTTATATTTATTTGGAAGATAATTACAGTGAAAATGTAATGCATTTTACCCTAATTATTGCATATACTGAAAATACTATGCATTATCTCAATCTTAACCCAATTTCAACAGTTTAATTTGACACTAAAAGACACTTATAAGCCTCTCCAGGGAAAGCTCGAGTAATATTATTAAAAAGGTGGAAAAAAGAAGTATTTTTTTTTAACTTTGAGTAACCAACAACTAATATCCACTACATTTTTTTAATATTCTGTAAGAAGTTGCTCTTCATCCTGTATAAAAGAACATCTTGGGTAACCACAGTGCAAAACCTTGATTTTGAATGATAAACAATCAAGAGCTTATAATATCCTCAAGGGGAATCTTTTGTGCTAACAGACAAAAACTTGACACTTTGAAAACCTTTGCTAAGATCATATAGCCTTGTTTCAGCCATGGCTTGAATCCTGCGCTATTCCTGACAACCAAACACTACTAAAACTTAGATGTCCGCTTTCCGCTCCCATTTTTAAAGCACAGTGAGCTGTGAGAAGAAATGTCATGCACAGTGGCAGGAGAGAAGCAGTCAAAAGCTGTCAACATATGAGCAAAAACGTAATATTTAAAATGCTCAGCACTTAAAGGCATTGTCAACGGCACTTTGCATGTGCTAACAGAGGTCATACCTGGGTATTGTTACTGTGTTCCAGGTAAGAAAAAGATAGATGCAATTTACCCAAGCACAATAACATATTATCACATTTATACTGCACTAGTTTGCTCAGAGCCAAGTTCAGGTACCACTGAAAAGCAAAGCCTTATGCCTTACAAATGTACTTTATGAATGACAAATGAAGAAGTTAGAAAAAAATGGAATGAGATTTAGGTTAGAATAACAACTGATAAAATTTATTACAATCGTTCTACAAGATCGCATGCTCTAGGTGACGCTGCGTGTGCAGGGGGGTTGGACTAGATGACCTCCAGGGGTCCCTTCCAACCTTAAGCATTCTGTGATTCTATGATTCTATGAAAACAAGTTAGACTTCTTTATACAAAGCTATGACACAGCCAAAAGAAGGCTTCTCTTGTCACAACTGAGACTGAAACTAAGCAAACAGGATTGTGTCAGTGCATATAAAACTATACAGAGCAGGTAGTGCAATGAATTAAAACTCACATATCTTGTCTGATGTGTATAAACTGTCTATTTCCTAGAAAAGAAGTATTTTAAATAATTGGAAATACTTCAAACAGCTATAGGTTGTACCTAAGAGCTATGCACATCGCTGGTCCAACAGCAGAACAACTTAGCTCATGTTCATATACTATGTGAACTTTTTCAGCAAAATGCCCTCTTTCCTGCCAGCTGAGTGGCGATCTCTGAAAAACCATTAAGAAAGTATTCCAGAACCAGTATCTAGCCTCACTCCATCCCATGTATTAATGAGCTGGCTGAAATCCAAACAGAACAGCTCATTTATGTAACGTGTGACACAAAGGGACGAAGGCTGGTTTCAAGGAGGAATACTTCTAAGAGTAGGAGATTCATTGTAAAATGCAAAACCAGATGAAGATGGAAAAATACAACTTGCCTGAAGGACTGATAAGGCCTCTGCATTACCAAAAAGGAAGGAATTAGATAAGAGATAACTTATTTTAATATTTTGTTACTTAGTTAAATCTTGCAGTTCTTGAATGCCTTTAAAATAACTGAATAAATTCCCTTGCTAAATTTGTTCTTAATTTCCTGCATTCTGGAGAGCTTAGGCTAGAAGCTAGAGCTTAGACTAGATAGGCAAGACTAAGGGGAGCGGAGGCCAATGGAAAACTCACTTCTACACACTGCTTCCAGGAACCACAGATGTTTTGTGTCCGTAGGCAGGGCTTCAGGGCACATTTTAGAGAGTCAGCAATAGAGCACAGGCTACCTAGACAGTAATGGTCAGCCTTGAAACATACAGAGCTCAGTGATGTGGAGCTCTCTGTTAACTGGTGATCATCTAGGAGAAACTGAGCCAGGCTAGGGCAGCAGTTTCAACCTAAATAATTAATGAATAATCACTGTGAGTAGCTACAGTCAATTCCTTTTACAATTCTACTCATGGAATACGCGGTAAAAAAGCCTTTTGATTGTTAAAGGCAGGAGAGCTTTCACAAAACAAGTATATATACCGGGTTGAGTATATATACGCTGACCAGGAAAAAATAATAAAAGCCCAGAACAAGTTTAATCTACCTAACCACAACACACCAACTCCTAAGAGAAATACCTTTCTACCACAAATGAAATGCAATTAAGAGACACAGACTCTGAGAAGAAGATTACCCTTATCTTTAAGAATTACTGATTTTTATACTTTGGACACCATTATCTTAAATATTGTCACAATGGACCACTATATTAATTGTGCTATGTAGTCATATTTGAAAACAATTAAAATCATTACCTCCAAATTCTTTTCTAGCAGGTGCAGGACTCCTACCGCCTTACAGTATTTAAGAAATGAATGCAGCAATAATGAAAAATATGAGTACAGTAAGAGGGAAGAAAAAGAATGAGAAAGTTAAAAATGACAAGGGTCAGTCAGTTTGTTTCTAACTACGTTGCCCATACGCTTCTGAACATCCAGTTTCTGTTAGTACTCAATTGCTTACATTTTCAGATGATCCAGATGCACTTTACATTAAAAATTTGGATGTAATAAAATGCATATTTACTGATACCCAAACAAAAGGATCAGGAATCAATGAATGCAAAAGATAATTTATCTTTTACTTTAAAAAGTGAAATGCTATAAATAACGAAAATGTGAAAACACTGCTGTAGAAAGTACATTCATAAAGAGTGAAAATAAGTTTACAAAAGTTGTAACTTATTCACTAAACAGAGAATATAATACCCATTTATTGCTAGAAAATGCTGTTACTTCACATTGTACCTTGGTATTACCTAGTAAATGTACAGTAAAAAATTTAGAGAAAAGCAGGTATGTTCCACTGAACCCCAATGCTCAAACCCCAAAATATGCAGTTAGAACTTCAATGCTTATCTCACAAAGGTGAATCAAAGTGTTCCTGACCTCCTGATACGCTGGCCCTGCATTACCTGATGGTGGAGGCGGCCTCTGTGGTGGAGCGGGGCGCGCGGGAGGAGCAACAGGACGAGGCGGAGGAGGGCGCTTGGGCTCCAGACTCTGCGAAGACTCTTTCTGCTGGGTGCCAACCTGGATTTCAGCTGCAGAACCAGAGAGAAACCAATGCCACAATTAATTACTGACATCCCAATCACATAAAGACATTTCTAATAGAAAGTTATATGCACAGAGAGGGTGGTCAGTCCCCAGCGCTGGGAACCATGCTGTGTTCTACCAAAGTAGACAAAAGTTTCTGAGAGATGGAAAATAAGAACCACCAGTGGTGAAACAAGTCTATTTCTTAAATAAAGATTTTGGTTTCACACTGTTTAACCAGTAAATGTTTTTCATGGAATGCTGAACATTCTTATAAATTGCAGAGTTCTATATTTTGATTTTCACCCTATCCTGCAAACTAACTACTCAGGAACAAAGCATTCCAAGGCAAATTCTAATGGCACTTTAGCCAGCAGTCTCCTGGAGTAAACCTACTCTAAATTACATTGAAATAAACAATTTCAGAAGCCATTCAAAACATTCTAATTCCTTACGTCCACTTTGTTACTAAAATGGAGTTGGGTTTAAGCAGAAACCTTCGTATTATATACTGAAGTTTACAAATATGATGATTATGATTTACATATTACACTTTACAGGAGCATTCATTGAAATATAATGCATTTGAAGAGCATAACCAAAGTGAGTTAGAATTCTGGTTACTAGGTAGAAAGCCTAGTAACTACATATTTTTTGAGGTGTTTCTTTCAATGTGTAATGCCAAAAAAGTACAGCAAGGGAGGTAATTTGCAGCTGTGCAGAACAGTGGAGGAGTAGTAAGAAAGACTCAGAAAATGTGGCTCTTCCACTGGAAGCTTGCCCATTAGAAATAATGAAATGATTTGCCCAAGACCACCTATCCGTAAAATACTAAATTGTGACAGGATCTTTTTTATTAATAGATCTACCAACACAATGAAAAATATCCTATGAGTAGTGTTTTGCCACTGGACTAGACTGCTGCCAAATTGCTCCACTTCCTCTATTACCAAAGCATAATGTAATACACACTGTGCGTGGAAACAGGTGGCCCAGGGGTTTTTGTTGGTGCTCGGCTCGGTCTCACAGGGAGGGAAGGTCCATCTGAGAGTGTAGGGGACTGACAGGGACTGGAACGTGGTGAAGAGCTTGGGGAGGTTCCAAGACCAGAGCTTGAGGTTGGCTGTAGATGCTGAGGAAGAATTTCTTCTACTTCAGCACTATAGTCATCAATGTCACCTAAAAAAAAACCAAAACCAACAAAAAAAATCCATTTAAAATACAAGGGAGATACAGTTAATCATTTATTCAAAATAGTGGTGAAATGCCACTGATTCTGGGCATAGAATTTCAGGCAGAAAGCCCTCCTACAAACCGTAAGTTCCAAAGTTTTATTACAAACACGAAATCTTTGTTTGATTCTTGCATCAAAAAATTATAAAGACCGCAGATGTATTAGAACTAGTCGAAAATACTCCAAGAGCACCACAGAGAAAATGCGGGAAGTTTTTCCTACACAACTAGTGTAGGACTACAGCATAGTTAAGGCACATACTTGGGTAGTGCCCATGCCATACAGCTTCATTAATACTGTGAATCAAGTTTTGGAGATTAAACAGAATCAAACTGACCTACTTTGCTGCATTCACACATGTCTGCCTACAATGCAGAATGCCCCTAGTAAAAATGCCAATTCTTAATCTGCTGAAAAATCTAACTTCTCTGATAGGTACCAGGAGAGACAAAGTTGCCTCTCCTACCTCTTGTCCTTCCTCAAATGTACCACAAATGCACAAACACAACAAATTTTAGGAACACACTTAAGCTTAGCTGAACTTGCTTGCCAAGATACAAATCAAGACACAAGATATGTTAGTCATGCCCCTAACTAAGTGTGAAAATCATTTATAAGTCACATGGTTTCCTTTCATGGTGAAACAGCTAACCATGTTCCCTCCTTCAACTGTAATGAGAATTTGGGGATTTCTCCATGATTCATTCAGACAACCAAAACAAGTATCTGTACCAAAAACGCCTAGTCTCTGCTTTGCTGTTACATATAGCTGTTATCTCTTTTTGCCAAAAGAGATACCATAAAATAATTGCTTTGTACTCTAAAGTTGGGTATATTCTGCTTACATTTCCTCTCTGGAAACAGCACTAACACTGCCTGAATGAAGCGATCCAGAGAGAGCAGGTCACAGGACGAAGTGAAAAGAATGGTAACAAATTAGCAAAACCTAGCGGTACCGAAAAACTGCAAACTGGCACCAAAACTGAGACTGCTTTACAAACAGTCCAGATACTGTTGAAAATACTCTTGATTCTTAATCTGTGAGTTTCAGCTGGGTATAAACTTGTTAAACTAAAGCATCAATTAATGTATTAAAATAACAACGATATTTGGAACTCAAAGTACTTCAAAAGTAGGTTTACTTTAATTGAACAAACCTTCCATATCATAGTCTGCAGTAACCTCAGCATCTTCACAAAGCAAAGTGGAGCTTGTTGAAGAAGGCAGCCCAACATTAATCTTCTCTAGATTCATTTCATCTTCCAAACTCTTGATCCAGTCTGGGTTTTTCAAACTTATGTTTATAGTCCTTCCTAATATCTGAATTGACGTAAGATACACACAAAACAGAAGTTTTTAGGAATATGAACATTAAAATCTCACATTCCAGATTAGAAAGGCAAAAAAGAAATTGCCAAAAACATCAGAAAAGATTATCAGATTTCTGTGACAAAACAATGACTGTGATATGTCCCCGAAAAATATAAGCACATTTTTCACTTCATGAGGGTCATCAGGTTTTTAAAGCCATTTTATAAATATTTAACATTTTTTTTCAATAAAGCATAATGTCTAAAAAGAGTTTTTTTAGTTACCTGGAAAGCCTCTGGTTTCTTTGTTCTGACAGAAACACTACTCTTTGTAAAAAGAAAACAGACTTGCTTATAAACTACATTAATTAGAATGTTCTGTATTAGAGACTGATCAAACTGTAGACCTTCATTCTGCAACTGAGGCCCCTTATCCTAGTGAACTGTCACCAATTTCAGAAAAAACAGCAGCTGTAAGGATCGATCTGCAACATCACATTACAGAATTTAAGTCTTAGTGTCTAGTAAGAACTCAGCAAAAATCTGAGTATGAAAATTAACTTTTTTCCAAAGGTGAAATGCTTGCCCTAGGGAAGCCAATGGCAAAACAGAAATCACTTTAAAAGTCAGGATTTCACCACAGGTGTGCTTAATTTTAAATCACTGCAGGCTACAGAAATGACGAATCACTTTACGATATAGTCTCACAGTAAAGAATCTGCTTTGCGTTAAAGAAAACAACAGTAATTAAACATTTTTAAAAATCCCTCAATGATGAAGATCCCCCTCAACATGGAATCTTCATTCTTCTAACAGACCTTCTTCTAGCAAGGCTGGGTTTGGTACTTTTTTCAATTGTCTTTTGAAAGACAATATACTATGTGACTACCATAAAAAAATTAGAAGCAATACACTAGAATGGAGATTGAAAATCTGTAAAAAAACAATCAAGATTTTCTAAAAATTTGGAACTTCTCTTACTATAAGAAAATTAAGTAAATGTATATTACCTCAGTACCATTTAATTTCATAACTTTCAAAGCGGAGCTTCCTTCCAAAAAGGTTACCCACATCTTATCTTCTACAAACCTGCAAAGTAATTTGGTAATGGTAACTAAAATACTTGATCCTAACTACTACCTTTTGAAGCCTTTCATCTTAAAGGTTTTTAACATTGTATTTGATGGAATACAATTTTCTTGAAAGGTCATTCAAAAACATGTATTTTGGTAATAAACTTTGACAGTATTCTTGCAACACATATATAAAGCAAAAAAACCACAAAGTACGTATATCATGAAATCATTGTTCTCTTAAAATGTGTGGCTACAGTCACATATTCAGATCGCTTGTGTGACTAAAGGTTATATATTTGCACTATATGTTCAATTCACACTACAAACTTGGGACCATTCCTACTCTTGAGAGAGAAAAAAAAAGCTGTTAATTTTATTAATAGCTTAGTGTTAACAGTTAATTTATTAAAATTGTTAGTTTTATTAACAGCTTGGTGAACACAACATTCACAGGTATCCTCCAATGTTCAGTTCACTTAAAAATATTTAACTTTTTTAAAGAATACAAACTTGTACAAAATTATAGAAATAACAAATTTCTCTGATGACTTATATTTGACAAACATATGATATTTTGTCTCACAAAAATGGAAAAAATAAATGTGGAAACCACAACATAGAGGTAAGTTGTGAACATAATAAAATAGAGTTAAAATCTGAATGCTAAAAATTAAGGAGATCAGAACTGAGGAATGTTTGCTGGGAAGTCACTTAAGGAAACAGGAGTGAAAAATGAAGAAGAATTAAGATTAAAAGTAAAAAAAAATCTTTTTAACCTTATGAGTATAACTTCACCATAGCTTGCAAATTTTTGAAGAAGATCATCAATCAAGTTATCATCAAAATAGTTTTCTTCTTGTGAAGAACTTTTGATGGAGACCATTACAGTACCATCAGGTGGTCCCTGCATTGCAATCACCTCCTTATAAATTTTCTGTCTCTCTTCTGCTTCAATTTCAAATATGTCAATGTCAATCACTGCAACCACAGGCCTTGGAAAAAAATACATAAAAAAACTGTAAACAATATCTGAAGAATTAAATGAAGAGAAATATTGTATTTTCAATGATAAAAAAAATGTTTAAAATAAAATTGAAACCTATGATCAGATGTTTTGAGCTCTGCTCGTCCGTAGTGCAACAGGGTGCCAGGATTCCATGTGTAAGGGACATTACTGTCATTCTGAAAACTAGCATTCAGAAGATCCAAGTCTTCAGCTATATTCAGTATAAAGGAAACAAAAGGAGAAAACCACTGTGACTGCAAGAACATCCTAAAATAATCAGTTAAATTAATGAGTTGTAAAAAGAGAATGTAAAAAGAATGAAAGAAACAGAAGATTCATATTTTTAAAAAAAGTTCTTTTAAACTACTGAAATGTCTGTAACGGGTGTCTGATTCTTGATCCTCCTGTTCAATGCCATCCCTATTTATTAAAGACTATTATATTATTTCTGTCTGGTACAAAGTCAAAGATGGAAACTCAGTATCTTTGGCACTGAGCAGATTGCTGAATGGATTCCACAAGCTAGTTAAAATAAAATCTTACACAATTTAAGGAAGCACTCAAACCTGATCGGTCAAAAGGCCATTTTCTTCTTCTCCAAAGAATTCGATCTGTCCATGCTGGTGTGCGACATTTCTCACTGGTGTCATAGTCATCAGAAAAGAGGTCATATTTGTATGTAGGAGCAAAATTTATTTTGCCCTCTAAAAATCCCCTAAAAATCTGTAAAAACACAAAAACAATTCTATGGCATGCCAGAAGACAGAAACAGATGAGAAACAGCTTGAAATTAATCAGAATTATCTCTTTCAACAGTGAAAACCTGCATGCACATGTCTCAAAAAAGAAAGCCATTTGATAATATGAATCCATCTTTATATTTTATCTGCTGAAAGCAGAAACATCGTCTACTAAGATTAACCAGTGATCCAGGCAGACCATTATTGAATAGAAATATGTCAACACCTATATAATTTAAACCCTCACGAGCAACCTCCTGCTCCTCCAATGTCATTCAGAACCTGTAGCCATTGAGAATAGATGTTTTCCAAAGCACTTTAATTACTTGGTGTCACTGCTCACATGTCAGCTAATGCTGGGAATTAATGTTTATAGTTTATGTACCTGTCTGAACAGATACATGTTTCTCCAAAGGAATACTAGAGGCCTCCCCAATAAGCTTGTAAGAGTTTAGAAAAAAAAGGACAAAGAAAAAGGAGAGAGTCCTTAAAACTAAGATGTTCAATATAAAGAGATTAAAGAGATATTATCAGTATTTCTTCTAAAATGAACACAAAAACAGAATAAGACTACCTATTATATGAAATATTCTGTCAACAGTACATATGGAATTTATGGATACAGAGTCAATTTAAAATAATCAAAAAAATCCATTAGATCATTTCCAACATAAGCAGATGCAGCCAGCCAGCGCAAGTCTCTAGAAGGTAGGGAGATCTGCTCATTCCTTAAGTGTGGAAGATAGACATAACAGAAATGTTTTCATTGACTATCAGCTCCAGTCTTGAGTTTAATCTTACCTACTTAATATACTGAAACAATTTATAACAAATTTCTTTGCCTTTTGTAATTATTTTATAATGTACTTTTCTGAAGAAAGGTGCTACATAAACACCTTTCCTAAACAATACACATGCCAGTTAAGCCTAGCAAGTCAGCTGACAAACACTAATGTCCAGCTAAACAGTGGAACAGTGGTAAATATCTCTCCAATTAAATTAATGTGCCTCTTCTTTTCTCACAGTTAGGGAACTGATTTGAGGATTTTTTTTCTCTCTTTTTTTCTTTACTTTTTTTTTTCAATTCAAACAGTTTCCATCAAACTTTCAGACTTTATAACTGTCAAAAATATCCTTGAGACCTCTACATGGCTCTTATTTTTGTCATACTAACTAACAGATAATCCTGCTCTCTGTCCACCTGAACCTATATATATATTTTATCTAGGAATTAGTCTAAAAAAAAGTCAAATGTTTTCCCTCCTGTTCTGATACACAGGCCATCAATACAAATGGGAGAAAAGGATCCCTACTTCTGAAAACTGTATGACCCAAGCGCTGACAAGCAGACAAAAAAACAACTGAGGAAAAAAACTTGACTGTCGTTTTACCACCTATAGCATTTCCACATAAAGCTGGGAAAATAGAAAATAGCATAATTTCACACAAAATTTGGTTCATTAAAAATATTCCTTTAATTGCTATATGCTGCCCCCCACAAGAAACCCTAACAATCTAAAATTCAAAGCTTTCTTCAGATTTCACTACTCCACTCATTTTTTTCCTTCCTAAGTAACAAAGCTATAACTTGGTGTGCTGCTGTTATTGTTATTCTGTTGGAAGAAGCATTATATTGCTATAGTAACAGATTTAAAATGAAAAGTAATCTTATCGAAACACCTTCCATAAATACTTATATAAAAATAGCTGATAAACAGAGAGGTTGGAATTAGTAAACTCCAGCACAGTGCTCTAGAAAAATTACATAGTTTCTTCTTTCTTTGCAGAGGAAAATAAAAACTTCATTCCTACAAATACAAATCACTGTTATTTGTGTCACCAACTCTTCAGGACAGTTACTACAAATAAATTACTAAATACTGCTACTTCCCATCCTTCCATGATAGAGTGTAGACAAAAGTGATAAAGTTAAAACATGCTGAATATATAAATCTACAAAAGCACCACAGAAGCTTGTTTTTTTAAAGCCAGAAAGAAAAATAAAGTATTCTTAAGTGCTGTAACATTTTCTAAAGATACCTGTCCAGAATTTTTCTGATTGATAAGTTGGTCTCCAGCAATAAGGGAATCCCAGTTCTGTTGTCGTATTAGTTCCTTAACCTCCTCATTAGGAATATCTATTCGATAATTAAAATCGCCACACCAAAAAATATAGTCATGGGAAAAGAGCATCCTTCCCTGTAAAACAAAAACACATAATGCAGTTAAAAACAATCGAGAGATTGAAATTTAATCCTTCTATGCATGAAAGTTCTATTTATGAGGATTAGGACTATTAAAATATATGTTATTATTTAGTGTTCATATGGAAGGAAATACAGAGCCAATTGCATGGCATTCATACATGTGGAGTATGAAAGAAAAAAAAAACATTTCTTATGTAGTCTGCATTTCTAAAGAAACATAAATCAGCTGAATTCCACTCTAAAATTTGCCACCATTCTGCTCCAGGCCTAGAAGCTGTCTCTGACGCGATGACTGCCACCTGTGTCACAAAGAGGATCAAAAGGAGAACAAAACACCCCTCGGGATTATGGGGCACCTCGTCCTGACAAACTGAAAAGCAAAGGCTTTATTACGCAGATAAGAATGAAGGCCTCGTTTGCACAAGATTTTCAAGGCTGGGGAGAGACAGAAGCGTCTTTTAGATAAAAAACAGTTTAAATAAAGCATATGACTTCAAATAAGAACCCTATATTCCCTTTTTTTTTTCTTTTTTTACATTGTCCTTAGAAAAAACAAATCAGATATACTGACAGATTAAAACAACAGCATTTAGGGAAGTGTTTCTGGGGACCCTGAAAATGCAGTACCCTAAAGAAAATATAAAACATGACAATGGCAACAAATACAGGGGGGAAAAGGGCATAAAATAACATGCCAGACTTCTGTACAGTGCCACAGAAACTAATAAATGACAGTTTGACTACAAAATTTAAGACAGCTGTAAGCCTATATTGAGATTCAAAATACAGCTTTATGTAAGCAAGCTTTAAGTAAGCACTGTTGAAGTATCTATTTTTGTGTTTGACATGCCTTCATAAGAATAAGGTACTGAATTCCATGATTCAACTTGGCAAAAAATTATTTAACAAGAACTTAAAATGAGTTTGGAAAAAAAAAAGTGTGTTGAAAAGAGTGCCATTTCTCACAGATTTTGCTTTGCTATCTCTGGAAGTTCTACAGCACATGAGGAATCTATAAAGTCTCTTTCCCAGGCTAGCTCCTTCATGCTTCACCTTTTCCATCAGTCCCTGCACTGGAAAGGTCTCTTGTCTCTGTATAGTCATCTATTTTAATAAAAACTTTATTAACTCTGAGAGTTCTACCTGAAGGAAATTTGATTTACATGGGAATCTGAGGAGAGAAAAACAAAACAAAACAAAAAACCTACAGCAGAATTCTGAGTGATACTGCTGGTGCTAAAAGGATTTAACTTTTCATTTGCTATGGAATTTGCACCTTGCTGCTTACCATTGGAAAACTGAGCTTGCGAGCTATTTCGATGAAGTCCTCATTTCTCTCTTTAACTTGTGACTGCCCTGCAGCAAAGTGGCTGCAGACGAAGCAGAGGCTGGAGGTATGAAACAGCATTCGAATTGCTACTGCACCTTTGTTACCAGTGGCTCCTCCCATGCCAGTCTTCACAGTATCAACAGCAACATCCCTAGAAAAGTTACATAGCAATCAACCCTTCAAAGCCAACAGCTTTGAAGTACATTTGAGTAGTGCTCTATCACTGAATGAGGCCTTGCAAGGCAAGTAAAGGATAATAAGATGACATTAGGTTGGGGAGATTACATTTTCACATTCGTCTTTCAGTAGTAATGCCACTGGATTATTTTAAAAAGACGCCAATAGATATTGAGCAACTAAAGTATACCCCCCGCTTCAGTCTTTCAAGCATTCTAGGGAAGTCATATGGTACTTCGAAACTAAAATGTAAGAAAGTAAGCAATTATTTTCCCAGAAGGTGGAACATCTCTTGCAGAGCCCAGTTGGCTTATCAGCACACTAGCACATTTGTCTGCAACACAAAGCAATCCGGGGGTGACCCAACCTGGGCACAGCCGTGTGTTCACTGACCTGATAAAAGGAGCGTGCTGGGGTCTGATAAACACAAAAAGGCAGACGCCCACCAGCTGCTCAGAAGCCAGCAGCACATACTTGTAGTCTCTCGATATGGTCTTCTGCAGTTCCACAGCCCAGAGCTTCTGATTGGTTGTGCTGGCGGCGAGATTAAAAATGCCGGTTTGAAATAAACCAGAGGAAGGAGGTATTCTCAAGGGTTGGTCTAGCCGACTAATCTTACAATAACCTTAATAAAACCTTGGGGAAGTAAGCCAAAGCCCAAGAGTGAATGGTTCCCAAATGACTTCTAACAGGCACACAGGCTACAGATTGAAATGATGCCATCAGTTCAAATTCACTCTGGTAAAATGCTTCCTACTCTTCCCTGCCAAACGGAATATAATTTAGGAGCCTGGATTATCTTGCCTATATTTCTGAGGTTGGTAAGAAGGTGCAAACAAAGCATCTTTCTACAAAGTTATTTCCTAGACTAGAACTCAATAAATATTTGGAAACAGTGACGTCCATAGTCTTAGATCAAGCAAAAATCTCCTTCGAGAACAAAATACAATGTTTTTGTATTGGATACAAATAAAAAACTCGGGCCTGGCAGCAGCGTTAACTGGACTAAGTGTGAAATTAGGGCTGCTCTGCCCTTGGGACCAGGGCGTGCACAAAGGCCCACAGTGTAATATGCTTTGGATGCCTTTCCCAGTGAGTCAGGAGTTAAAGCTTGACAGATATCAGAAAATATTTAAAGCAACGGACAAAACAACGGGCAAAACAAATACGATCCTGGGACCATAGATAAAGGGCTTTGTTACTGGTAATGCCCAGCACCATGCCGAGCCCTGAGGAAATGTAGGAAAATACATATTAACATACCAAACTTTGCCTAGGCTGAAAAACCCAAACTCCACAACAATATATTCAAGGAATCCATGGAGTGATTGAGGTAAAGACAAACTAGGAAAAGGCCAAGTTATGATCAAAAATTACTTCTGCTCTTAATGATAGTGAAAAAACGATGGTACAGAAGGACGCACTTGTCCATACAGATCAAAATCCGATGAAAGACAGCATATAAAGGCGTAACAACATCGCGTGGTGTTGGAAGGAATTTCACAGGACTTGCTGTTCCCAGCAGGAGGAAAGCATAGAAACTGAGGAACACTACCAGCATTGCAGAAAAACTCCCTCCATGTATTATATGAAGGAAAATTTCGAGTGGCTAATGAAGGTGCCATCCAAAATATGACCAAGCACTGACTGCTATATATGATCTAAACAACCACAGCTACAGTAAGGAAAGCTGAGATGGAACTGGAAAATAATCAAAAATTATTCCAAAATAATCCCAAATTTACAACACCATCGATATTTCTAAAATAACATTATATTAAAAACTAAATGAACAAAAAAAATTACCAACTAAACTGATTTTGTATTGATTACATCACCTACCTGGCATTCACAATGTTTCCTGCATTTAACTCTACCATTTCTTCAAACCCAATGGCAAATATGTCTACAGGCTTGCTTCTTCGATCTGCATTTAAATATTAAAAAAGGCTATTTGTTGTTTGTATTTATCTTAAAAAAAAAGAAAGAAAAAGAGACCTCATACATTTATTTTAACGTTCATGAAGCAAAAAAACAACAAAAATTCCTACCTTGGAATTCATGAATACCAGCTAACTTTGGTGCATCCAGAAGCCAGTCAGTGAGGGTCTGATTTTTAAAAGCAATGCTTCGAAACTGCTTCCCCCCATTCACATTCCATGTCCCAACGCAGACTCTAACTTTTTTTGGTTTTGCATACTTATAGAAGTTTTCACACATACTCTTTAGCACTTTTACAGATGCTGCAAAAAAAAACATTTAAAAAGACAAAGTTTTTGTACAGAATATTTTTCAGGGAACTTGGTAATGAAATTGTGCTCTTAAACAAAAGGTAACAAGTACATGCATAGACATACAGAAAGTTAAACTGTGAAAGCAAGATGAATAAATGAGCAAAGCATTCCACAAGGGAAAGCAGGAACATATTATTTGTCTGGGAAGGGTACTGACTGAATCAAAGGTTTTAGTAATTCATACAGAGTACCATATATCAAAGAAACTTAATTTCTGTACTTTTTAATAAATATCTGCATGTGTTTCTCTAAAGAAACCATTACTACATTACTACTACCATTACCATAACCCAACAGAAGTATCTCTCTCACTATGTACATTCTACTTATGAAATTCAATCTCTGTTAAAAAACAAACAAACAAAAATATGTACTAGTTTCTAGAACTGTAAACAACTGGTCCAAATACATCTGCTAAAACGGGACAGTTGTTATAATAGCCAATATTATATTAGAGTATGTTCTTTTTAAACAAGAAATCAAATTTTGGGGGTCAGTTGACTGCCTAAAGTTATGCTTCCACTGGGACAGTAGGGAAGGATTCAAAAGACAGACTCCTTTCTCTGTTACCCAGGTCTTTCTGTGCCTTGTTTCTATCTGCCAGATGCGGAAAGAGTAAGGATCTATCTGACCTATCTGTAAAGAGCACTGTGAGAGCAAATGCTCAAAGACTACAGTTAGAGATATTGAAAAAGTTCCTTTCTGTATTAGCTGTATAATATAATTTTATATATATATATATATACTTCCCGATGCAAATGAACAAATCCATATTTTAAAAAACTTACACTGCTGTTTTTCTTCAATCTTAGCAGAAAAAAAGCATCAGTTTAACAGTGCTGTTTATATTATACTTTACCCAAGTAATATTAATTTATCTATTTAGAAGATTGCTGTGGTCATGCTCAAAGCAGGCTGTAAAAACTGTATTAAAATGTCAGATGGAATTCCTTCCTTTATTTTGTGCTGCCTTGCAAAATTACCAGCTACTGGGCACAGCCTTTTCAGTCAAAGCCCCAAAATAGGAAAATTAGTGAGCTGGGTTTTTTTCATTATTATTTTATTCATTCTTTCATTGACCTTTATTCATTCTTTTCCAGTTTGCAACTTTATCAGAATCCTGGCAAATGAAGCCAAGAAAACAGGGAGAAGCCTACGGAATATGGTATGTCCCTAAGGGAGAGCCACATCAGCATGGATGCATTCAAACACTAAAGGCCAATCAAGTCAAAAAGTCCATCAAATCCTGCAAAATCCTCCAGCAGTAATGGACAGTAACTACACCTGACAGTTCACCACTGAGAAGAAATTGATCCAAGAAATGTAGCCAGAATCCACAGAAGAGCCCAAATCATCCACAGAATTAGTTGAACATGAAGAACCCAATAAAACATCAGAGACCTGCTGCGAAGATCTTCCAGATGAGACTTTGTACTATTACTATCAACGAGTCTAAAAACAGAGTTTGGACTTCTCTCTACTTCAGTCTTCTTTTTTTTCTTTTCAACAAAAACATGACTCACTATGATGCTACAAATACAATAAACTGCCCTTCATGTTATTTCACAGCAAAAAACATATTTTAACAGCAGTTCATACTGTGCATTTCTACAAAGAAGTACTAATTTAAATTCTTTATGCATATTCTATGCAACAGAACTTGAAGTGAATTATTTTCCTACACAGTCTACATTACTGTAGATATTTTTCAATACGTATATTTAGTATCCACACTAAACTCACAATGAAATATTACATAAGTAAGCTTAAAAATGCCTGACATTTATGGCTCTTAAAATGTTACAGGCCAGCCTGGTATAGTCTAGAGGACACCACCATATATGACAATATCAACATTTAATTCCATAAAAAACTTTTGAACTCTAACATAATGCCAAAGAATCAGTTAATTGATTGAACAGTTATTAACAGCTTCCCTTCTTTTTTTCCTTCCTTCTTTCCCTCCATTCTCCCAGGTTTTAAGCATCTACTTTTTCACTTCCCCCTGAAACTATGCGTATGATCTAGAATGAGAAAATTTGGAAAACAAGGTTCTAAGGAAATATGCTGCTATCTTACAGGGATATTAACTAAGAGTTCTCAAAAGCTACTTAAAAAGAAGAGATCTTTCACATCCTTTTTTTCATGCAGCTCTTGTTAAGTATCATGGCTTCATGTTCACGGTACTGCCGAATCCCCATTTGCGAACCTCTCACGTTTTAAGTCCAATATCACAGACATGAGTCAAGAAAATATTGCAATGCCTCAAAGCACAAGATTAGGATTCAGTTATAGTTTCCTGTTTTGGCCTTGAGTTTTCGCTGAGTTTTTACCTAAACAGATGCTTTGGGCAATATTTTTCATTTTGTGTTGCACGCACTATCTCAGTGGTTCAGACTGCACTTTTTCTCCATCGAAGTACAACTGTCAGTAGATTATTTTGGATCATTACAACATGAGCCTTCACTGGAAAATGTGAATTTAGTCAATTTTATGCAATTAGGATCCTTACAAAGGCAAATTAGACTAAATTACAGAATCCAAAACCAACAATTCCTAAACCAGATAAAAAAAAATTATCTGCAGCAAGAATAAAGCATTTGCAAAAACGAAAACCAAAGTGTTGGTTGTCTCTTCTTATAATTCACACCAGCAAAATTCCAACATCTTTGGCTTCTTCGCAGGCTTTCTTGCACTAAGGAGCTTTGTAGAACAGCAGTACCAGGTTCAAACAATACTTGGAAAATGGAAGCCCACCACCAAACTTATGCAAACAGGGATATAAGAATAAGCCAGAGAACAACAGCTGCGTAGATATTTACAGCTCAGTTTACTATACTATACCTGATTGTAACGACTGCTCTGAAACTACGGATGCAGTAAGAAGGAAACAAGAATAAATTAGTCAAATAAGCAATTATGTTTGTGGTTTTTTTTTAATCTTCAGCACTGTGAGAGAATATATGCTCTTATACCCATAACATTACATACATATCTGTTTGCATCAAAGTACATCTTTTATGTTACCAAATCTAAAAAGCTACAGAATTTATTACAATTACTGCTTTCTTACTGTTTTAATAGTGGATTTTCACATGAAGAGACTAACATATCTCTAATGATTCACAATTTAGTAAACGGTGCAAACTTGTCCAAAGAAGAGGGACTACTGTTCATGAACTGACAAGAGCTGCAAATATTGAAAGAACAGCTTGCATTCATGAAGAAAGTGAGAAGAAATGAGAAGGATTTTTAACTGATTTTAAGGTGAGGCTGATTTAACAGGCTACAGATGCAGGAAGGGTTACAAAAACCCAAAACCCTGTCATAAGGGAGCAAAAAAGTCTTTGGGGTTCTACATAATAAACACTTGTAAGAGGAAGACAAAAATCAGGCAAGCTTTTTTCCTCTCCATGTCAGGTTTGTGCTGAAGCTTTAACACATTTTTCTCACTTTGAATTGAGAAGTGCCAGAGGGCAGGGAAAGAAAAAGATTTTAAAAACTTAATTCCCTAATTGTCAATAGCTCAGAATGGAGGACACACTTTCATGGGGTCTTGGAGCAAAGTTTCAAATTTACAATGTAAGTAAACGCTCATATTTGTTTTAATATATCATAACTCCCCCCACCCCCGAAGTTTATCATGCAATTATCGTGATTAACACTTCCTACAGGTGTACTGAACAACTGAACAAAATACAGCTAACGAACATCTTGTGTAAAGGTGACAAATATGCTCCATACTTACCTATTACACCATCAGATGTTACCAAAATATAAACAAATTAATTACTGCAGCAGATTAGTTCAGCAATATTAGTAAAGCAGAAATATCTTTTTATTTTAATAAGCCAACAGACTATGAAAAAGAGCACTTATACTTTCCAACATTGCTTTGAAAACACAGTCCATACAACTTTCTTACACCAAAGAGCTATTAGACAGATTAAAATCCTGAAAGACACATACCGCGTAAACTGCTGGTGGTTAAGAGAGCCCGTGCTTTATCTGCTAAATCACTATTTAGGGTATTTCCCAATAACAAAACATCAATGGCCTCCTGCTTGGAGCTATCAAAAAAGTTATTTTGAATCGTTCTGGTCACAGAACGAGCACCGTCCTTCAGCTTTCCAGCCTGTTAGGGAGGAACACGCATAAAATATTTTATGTCGGACAACACGCACAAAAACAATGGCAATATTCATTAACATATTTGTAAACTACATTAAAAGTTCAAAAATGAATGGCAATTTCCTTCCTTAAGTGTTAGATAGAAGTCTTCCATGTTTATGGTACTACTTATGTTTTTTTTCCCCATACGCTTAACAAGGCAGTAATGCCTTCAAGGCACATTTAAAGACGATATTATTCCAGTTATTTAATTATTTAAATAATTAAATAAATATTATAGGAAGAGGAATTTTTTCTCTAAACCTTTGGTGTTCCAAAATTAAGTTCAGGTAGTGCCATGTTTAGACCATGCCATGGGATTTTGAGTTTTCCCCCAAATAGTGAGAGATGCGCAAGCACTTGAGTCCAAATGTCATGATACACGAATATGTCTGTATATGCACACATGAACACATCTGTTCAGAATTCACGTTCTGAAAAATCCAGGTTTGAAAAGGGAAAGGCCCACTAAGGTTTGAAAATAGCATGCAAGCCTCATGCAGCACCGCAGAGAGGACACACGTACTAAACTAGGGCTATGCACACCCCAAGAGCACCGCGCAGAAGGGGTTGGTGCTCCAACAGAACCATGTCCGGCTCCTCGAACTAGAAATACTCCCTGCGGGGCAGACACCCAGAGGATAAGCAGCCACCATGCCGTGCAGGCTCACGCACGACCCGTGAAGCAGCAGGGTTAACCTGTACCAGTGGCACCGAGCATGGTTCCAGGGGCACAGAGACATTTCACTGGGGACGTGGGTCACGGTGCCCCACAGGGCGCACGCATACACACACACACACACGTATATTCTGCCTGCAAGGGGCGTGTGAACACATGCCATTAATATCTGCAGGTATACGAAACACAGACCACGCTCCATGAGGGATGCTGCTTTGTATTACATTATTATAGCAAACACTCTGAGCTTACAGCTTGAACTACCCGTGAAGGTCTCTTAAACACATAGTAGAAAGAAAAAAAAGGCTTAAGAAAGCCACAAAACCAACCCGCCACCACTCAGTTCCACAAAACACTCTAGGTGAGAAACCACCCCCTTGTCAAACACTAGGAGCAGGCAATGGGCAGGCTGATTTTTGGAAGACAACGTGGAGGAAGTGTTGGGGAGCATACTACTAAAACTGAATTTTAAGAGGATGCTGTTTCCTTTCTATCAGACAAGTTACAGCTTAAGAAATGATCTGAAAAGCACACTCACCATTCACATAGCAGGCAATTAATTGAAAGGAACCCAGAGAAAGCAAAAGAAAGAGTAGTTAAGGAGTTAGATGTAACGAGCACTATAATTCTTAAAAATGGACTGTTTTTCAACGTAGAAATACATATTAATACATTTGAGTTCATTTTTTTTTTCTGATATCCTAAATTTCCATATTTTAATTCTTGGGCTTCAAAGAATCAAACTGACAAGGAAGAACTGGAAGAATTTCGAACATCAAACTTTGCATTTGGAAAATAACCACTTAAAAACTACATTTTACAACTACATTTTACAGAGTTTGACACAGGTACTTAGTAATGCCCTGGAGAAGTTTCCCTAAAAAACAGCACCTTTTGTATAGCTTTGCAAGTAAATATCAAAGATCTGTTTGGACTAGACTGATTTTTTACCAGGGATATATTTGCAAAATGAGACCTTGTACATGTTAACAGTGCTATATTTGAATAATGAGACTTGTACTCATTTAACAGCTTTATAAGGAATATTATGGACAAGGACAGACTATTCTGGACATTGCAAAAAAAACAGCAGAGTAAATATAAATATATCTCTATTTTCCACATTAGAATGTAAATTCACTAAACATATTTTACATGGAAAAATTTTAAGTAGTCAAGTGGATGGCTAGGAAGTAATAATTTAGGAAAAGAAGAAAATAATGTTAAAAGGAGAAAGTTAAGAAAAGGGGAGATGCCTCACTAAATACTTACAGTATTTCTCCTGAGGGTCTGGGTGACATTAAGAAAATAAAACTAAACATTTTTAGACAAATTCCACTCTTCACTAAAATACAAGCAGTTCCCAGATGAAATTGTCTTGTATGCATCAATCAATGGCAGAATAAGCAACAAGCCTATTTACTTGTTTTGTTTTTACATAGTTCACTGTGATGTCTGCTATGTGTGCACGGAAGGATCTTGATATTATGGTTTGGATAAACAAATGATGGAAAAACAAGAGAGTCACCTACAACTAAATACTACATAAGCAAATTAAAAGAATGGAGATCAGGAAATGAAAATAGAACATTCTGAAGATAAGGAATTGTATGAAAAGAAATTCTCGATGGAACTAAGGGCAAAAATTGCTGTAGTTTGACATTTGTTTTTCTTGGAGTATCACCTGATAAGAAAAAATATATATAGAGAAAAAAGGAACAACTCCGTTGTTAAAAGAAAAATAAAGTCAGCATTAGGAAATCTGAACATCTCAAACATCAAGAAGGACAAAACAAGCTGAAGAAAAACAGAGCATTACTTTTCAAATGTAGTTCGGAATTGTTTGTTATCGCAACCCTACAAAGGAAGGAAGAAATGCAACTTGAGTTTTTTTTCAGTAAGTGCAAAACTAGAAAGAAACAGCTGGAGAACTAAACTACAAAACACCTAACTATGACCCGTTAAAAATAATACTGCTAACAAACACTAAAAGCATGAACAATAGCGTCCAGTGAAGCACATTTTAAAAGAAAGTGAGACGGAAACAACAGAAAGCAGAAGTACAGACAGAAAACTGAAAATGTTCAAATAAATCAAAGCCTATTTGAATACACATTTTTCAGAGCTGTCATGTTAAAAAGACTAAATGTTTTGAGCCTCCTCCTTTCCAACAGAATGGTGCTATCTGCAAAGCACGGGCATGGCTAAGAAAGGATGTACTGAAAAAAGACCTGGTTACTGACTTAATTAACTTTTTCAAATTAGCTGTATTTTATCTTTTCAGAGCAACATCACAAGTACAATTAAAGAAAGAAAAAAGAAGATATCTTAATTATTATATTCATGGTAAAAGAACGCAATTCCCACTGAATACAGCTAAAACTTTTGCTAAAATGTATCTTACCTTAGCTTTTCCTTCAAGGGCTCCTGTTCCAGCATATATTTTACTGACAGAATCACCATTCACAGACCACATGGATCGGAAAACTTCCTGGAAGCGAGTAACCAACTGCGGCTTCTCAGCCAATCCTAATACTTCCAGTTGTTTTGTTAGCATCTGCAATGGTTGAAGGCAACATTTGCAATGGAAAAATCTTTAAGTATTTATTAAAATGTACATCACATTTCCTCAGCAAATACACCAAAATTTTACTTCATATTCTGAATTCTGAAGAAAGGCCTTTATCACTCTTTCTGTATTTACACTTAAATCCTTCCTAACAGACTGCAATTTTTATTCTTACCATCAGTATTAGCTGAATGGGCTTTTCACAATTCATTCTACATATTTAAATACAGCACTATGGCCATGGATGTAGAAAGCACAATATTGTTTACATCTTAAAATCCTACTTTTTAGAATAATAATTAAAAAGCTTCAAGTAAGTTTCTAGGACTTGTGGCTAAAGACATAATTTGGAAAATAATCACTAAATTTAGAACTAAATAAAAAGCTATTTTCTAGGTTTTTTTCAAAGTTTTCAAACATTTCTAAGTATCCAATGGCAAGGAGGAGTCCAAAACATACAAGAAAAGTTAAGGAAAGATGAAATCTTAAACCTGGGTAGGAATTGATCAAAGTTACAAAAGGAAACTTGCAGATGAAATCAAATAGAAATAAAAAAAATAAAGAAGCTTCACAAACTGGCTTTTTCATCTCATCATTCTGCCTCACCATGCACAGCTCAGTACTTGATATGTATCTGAGAGTATCTGCTACATTATAAAAATACCCTAAGAATTTAAATATATCATTTAAATAGAATTTTAATAGTAAATAAGGACTTCAAATTTTGCTTCTTACTAATGAGTTTTGGACTTCTAGCTCTCATATTTTAGCTGAAATCATAATTTGGCTCTTACCAATGTTTGCCAAACACGCTCTAAAGAAATTTGCAGAGTTCTAAAAAGCCACAAAAGAGCAAAATTTTGACCTGTAAAGCTAAATTTGTCATTTCAGTTAGGAGCATACAAAGATTTGCCCTTGTACCTATGCAGGGTACTGTTAAACTCTGGTAAACTGATTCGGGATTGGGAAGGAGTTTAAGATTATCAAGTACCTTTCCAATGGCAAAGTCAATAAAGGATGGACAGACATCTAAGCCGTATAATGCAATACATTGCTACGGAATTTTCAAAACTTTCAGCTATTCTTTACATGCATACTGAAATAAAGAATAAAAACTCTAAATCCCACGAAAATGAATATAATTAGCAGATTATGAGTTTTTTTTCCTCAACCTTAGGAATCAAAAGGTATGATCACCTATGCTACATACAGGGCTGAAGCACTGAAAAAAAAAAGCTTCATCTCTCTCAAATTGTGCTTGCTCTTGCATGTAATCATGTTGAACCTTAAGAGGAAAAAAAAAACGGTTCAGTATTTCATTTCACTAAAACATTGTTCAACTGATAACAGTGTTGAACAGGAAAATGCAGTAGCAAAGCACTACAAATTCCAGAGCTGGAAATACAGATTTTGCAGTTCTATCAGAAATTCTTCACAGATTTTAAAGCAGGAAGATTTAAATTTAAAGAAAGGTCAGAACAATAACAAAAGGACAATCCTCTTAGAGGCCCCATAATTTTGCATGTTTAAACATTTTACAGATCTCATCTTTAGGAGTCAAACTTAATTAATTGAGATGAGCGGAGCTGTCAAAAATTGTTGAGAGCTCATCTTTCACATGTTACTCCATCAATTCCCATCAGGTTCATGCGTTAAATCTCTGCTTTACAAGCCTGCAGGCTGGAAGTTTTGTTTCAAATGCAAGTCAATACACTGAAGAACAACCTTGGAGGAGGACTGAATTGCACAGCTCATTTCCAAGTACAGAACTGGAGTGTGAACTGAGCCTTAACCACAAATTCTGTTACGAAGAATTCACAGCACAACACTGCAAAAACATGAAGAGAAAGCACTGGCAGATCTGGAGACCAGTAAGACCACTGCATGCTGAGGAAGTTCATCTAATGGAGCTATTGCCAAAGCGAGTGGTTTTTGAAGCAAAACACCACCACCACCTCATCAGGAATTGCAAGCCCAAGCCTCACAAACAGAAGAATCTGACACCCAAACAAGGATGAAGCATTTTTAATAATGTTACATGACTGCTGTGTAACTATAGCTACCACACTGCTACTGTTCTCCAAACTACCAAGGCCTGGTCGCCCACGGATTGACAGGATTATGCTATAAATCACTCTGCCATCTACGAGGTACTTAATTCATCTCTCATATGGAAGACCAGGGTAATTTTACAATTTAACTGCTACAGAAGTATCAGGAACAATCTGGATTCTCTATCTGGAAATCCATGGTATTTTTCCTACCTCTAAGCCAAAGAAAGCTTGCACGCTGTTTGTTCTATCCAGACAGTCCAAGCAATTTGTTCTGACAGTGCCACTTTGAGACCTGTGCCAAGTACAATGAGAAAGAGAAAATAACTCATTTAACACACATATCATCAGCAAAGGCAGGGACATCAAGATCTGAACCAGAATAGCAAGCCAGGGTATTGTCACTGCAATGTCACTGTCATCATAAGTATGTTTATAAATGCATCAGCAGCAGAGGGTTAGCTCCATTAGCAGCAGTGAATTTAGTAAGTGTTCGTTATACAAAACTCATCTATTTTCTGCCACAAAGCCATTCTCTTTAGTGTTTCTGCATTTCTCTAGGCTAGATGAAAGCATTATGCAGAATTAAGAATTCTTTCCAAACAATCGAACTAACACATCTCCCAAGAATTTCAGGGTCTTAGTTAAAACAAAAATGAGAAAAAAATATTATTAGAATAGTTATTTGATTTTTCTAACCAGAATAAAAGTAACATGAATTTGTGATAAAATTAAGGCTGATTTCAACTATTCTTTACTTTCTATTTCATACTCAAATAATAATGAAAGAAGTCACTTCCTAGTTTAACAGATGCTCACACGCTCTTAACTGCTCCCCCTTCTCTGAAAGAAACCCATTAATTCATGTTAAAAAGTTGTCTAAGTAATTATATTAGGCAATTCCCATATTCTCTTTGCCTCGCCACAAAGATAAACCTTTGATGGCTCTTCCAGCAATTCACAGCTTTTCTGTCTTTCATCATTCCCACTCTACGTTTCATTCAATTCAGTTTGGATTTCCTCACATCTGCACTACTTGAAGGTCTAATCAAAAAATGCGGGAGGCTGTGAAGAATGTTTTCCAAGATGATTTTGAAGAATCTTCCTCCAACTCTAGCTCTGTATTTCATTAGAAATATAACGCATTTTTCTATCTATATTAGAGAAAACCTGACGTTCTTCGGAAGTGATGCATTGTGAACTTACAAAAATTGTCACCAGGCCTTTCACTAATGCTATTCTCAAAGCCATCATAGGTCACCACCTCTTTTGCTTTAGCTCTGTTGACAACACTTTAGATGAGTGAAGATATTATCTGAATCTCTGCCAAGACCAGAAGCCACACTCTCGTCACCAGGTGAGTGTCACAGCACTTCTCAAGCTTTTGCCCAAAGGGCAGTGAGAGTTTGAGGCGATGGTGGGAGCCCGCATCTCCTACCTACCCTCCCACGACATTCGTTCTCACTCGGCTCTAGCCAAGAGCTGCTCCTGGAGGGTTTAGCCCCACACTAGTGCACAGAGCGGCCATGCAGCCCTCTTCCCTTCCACCCCACCAGACAAAGCCGGGTCCTGGCACAATCCTCTTGCTCATCAACTCTCTTCCTTATGGAAAACCCAACTGGGCACCTTCGCTCCGACATTAGTTAAAAGGAGGAAGAGTGTGAGAAGGAAAAGAGCAAACTATTGCCAGCTTTGCTTCCCTCTCCCTGGTGAGCTGAACAGAGTCTTTGTTCTAGAAAGAGGAATGGGGAAAATGAGGAAAGCACAATTAAGCAGGACCAGGCAATACGGAGCAGATCACAAAACATGCCTCCCAGCTATGACAGTAGTAACAGAGCCTCGAAACTCTGGTATCAAGTTAATTTACAATCGCAATGGCACTGCTTATTGTATTATCACTAACTCAGTACTTCCGAAAGTAATACACAGAAAAAAGTCTCTAATAAAAAGTAGAACTAAAAATATTTTTGTACAACTGGAATTGCATGACTTAAAGCATATACCAGCTGCTAAAAATGCCTCTCTCAACTGCGCTTCTCTCCGGCAACTAGTTGTGCCAGAGTAAACAGTTACTTTGGCAATACTTTTTGTATGAAAGACAGAAAGTGCTAGCTGCTGATCAAAATTAAGTAGTAAACCCTACAAGGCTATCAAACAGATTTTTATTGCTGTACCAGGGCATTTCAACATACACTTTATATATATACATCTTATTAAGAGGATTCCTTGTCTAATTTTAATTCTCTTCAATGACAAATCTGTATTTTAAAGCCTCCGGACACCATCTATTTTTCAGGAAAATCTTACACTCCTGTGGTATACTACTCATTACCGTAGACTTTAAACACATACCATTACTGAGAATCATGATATTTTGCAGAGGGCTGTATCTGTCAAATTAGAAGATCAGGGGCCAAAAAAAAGGGTACATTCTGTTACCAGGGAAAATATGTAGGATTTTATACAGCAAGAGGGGAAAATACTTCATTCTTCTATCCCATGTGGGCTTTTACCCCCAAAACAAGGGACTCTGCTCATTTCCACCAAAATACAGAGCTCAGAGGGCCAGAAACTAAGTCATGCTGCATCAATCAGTGTTTTAAGCCATCTCACAGGAAGATTTTCAGAGTACATCCAAAACACAGCAAAATTTTAAAAAAGAGTAAAACAATGTGATTCGTATTTCAGTTGCTGAGCATCATACTAGACACAATAAAAATATATTAAGAGAAATAACTGGAAGAGTTTTTTTTTCTTTTATCTTTTTGCTAAGGAAAGAAAAACATCCCAGATTCATTATTTAATTTCAGGGAGTCACAGAAATTACATAAACACACCTTTTAACTTCCTTTCCATCAAAATAAAAAAATCCACATTCTAAGAATTTCTGGACCTGTGGTTTAAGCACACTGTGTAATTTTTCAGCCTTTCCACCTTTAACCATTTGATGGTAGTCAAAATTCACCATTTTGATATCAGCCGAATGTTCAGATGCTTTCAAGTGGCTCTAATAAAAAAAAGAGAGGAAAAGGTTTAAATATACCAATAGACATACAATTTAGAGTAGTATAAACCAAAAAAGATGCTACAAGTATTTTTAGAAGAAAAGTATTAGTGATCTTGATTACTACATGCTTTCTTTTAGGTAAAAGTTAAATCACTTTTCATCTACTACAGTTTTTAAAAAATCATTTTAGCTCTTAAGGACTGATTAATACATTACCTATTTTTTTTTTCTTTTCTTGCCAAAATCAAACTAATTTATTTCGTACTATACTAAGATGACCGGGACAGTATCTACAGGACAACTTCTTCCATTGTCAAAATGCTTCACTTTTCAAAGAGTTGGACGAGCTGGAAATTCCTTTCACTAACAGGCATCATCTCAGACATATCTACCAGCAATGAGGACTAAGTAAATGTGCCATAACCTACTATGGACAAAGCCAAATTATTTAGGCTGCTGCAGAAGATGGTTTGAGGAAAATTTCCCCTAACATTCCCCCCAAAATCTTGTAGCATTGATACCGTCTCTGCTGGCAGAGTTGTGAGCTGTATTAACAGACATCTGGGAGCAATCGTGTCAGGAAGGGGAAAAAGGGAAAGGGAAACAACTCGTGACTATTTACACACTCCCTGGTTTCAAACAGAATTTCTCATATTGTCAGCATGCATGCCTTACAACAGGACAGTTATTTTTAACCTACCTAGGAAGAATTGTGAAAATGGCCAGTTAGCGTTAACATAATCTGAACAAGCATTTCAATTTAACCATGTAGCAGCTTTTAAGTGTAAAAGGATGGATCCATTTGTCATTTTTCAATATTAGGGAATACACAGAACATATATTTATCTATTCCCAAATGTTAACAGCAAACACTATTTACTTTATAAATAAACCACTAATAAGTATGAAATACGAAAACAAGTGAAAATGTTCAACAGTGTCTATGTTGCTGTCAATTTTTTTCAGTAAACCAACCAAGATGAAAATAATCAAAGACCAACTGTAAACACAACATGAAATGAAAAGCTGTTATCTTAAGCAGTGCTTTAACAATAAATATAATTTTTAATAGAGGCAGTATTGCTCCAGAGCATAGCATATCCGTTTCATTTTTGAAGATTATATAAAAACTCCAGAATGAATAGGCGAATTCCAAACATATGCACACTATGAGAATTGTCATAATTACCTGGAAAGCTTTGCTTAGCATGTGCTCCCCTTCTTTTGCCCCAAGTAAATTTACAATAATTTGCTTGCCATATAAACTTTTAAGTGTTCTGAAATGCCTGTTAACAGAAGAAAAAATTCCACACTCATATTCTGGCATAGAGAAAATTATCAGGAAGACCTGGGACACTGACTGAGACACTAAAGAATTGCACTGGATACCCTAATAACTGCAGCAGGCCTTTTATTATGTCAGGCCAAAAAAACCTAACATAACCAAGTAAGAGCATACAACAATTGACTGCTATTTAATTAGGAGAATAGCACCACAAATGCTGCTTAACAAAATACATTTAGTTCAAAGCATAGGATTGTGAAGTCAAAGTGTGCTAAAGTGTGTTATGGCAGGCAAATCAAAATATAAGTTTCAGTTTTAATCAAAAAGCAGCTGACAAATAAATTATGTAAACATAGAATGATTTCTGCTGTCAATTTAGCTAAGTATTTTAAATTTTCTTCACTTTTCAACATCCAAGTGCACAAGCAAGCCTGTAGAACTTTGCAATAATTGCCCAGGTAGTCCACCGCCATGCTCGATCACACTATTGTGCAGGAAAAGCCTCCTGTTGGGAATAATATATCCTATGATACATGGATATCACTTATCAGTTATTACAGTGCATTAACAAAACTCAAGACATCACCTGTCAAAAGCCGGTGCATTCGCCTCAAAACCCCTTGACATTCTGACACGATGAGATCCCACCTATGACATTAAGATTATATTAAATTATTTGTCTTCATTCCTTCAGCTAATTGCTCTTTAAAGAACTCTGTTAACCCAAAATGTGACCTAAACATTAATTTCACCTCCTAAATCAAATCGCCAAAATCTGTTTTGCTACCTATGCTGTGCCCTCTTTTTATTGACTTTCTTCAAATTCGTCCCCTTTTTTGGAAAACGCTTGATTTAATATATTTAGCCATGCAATCCTTTACCAAAAACATGTAATAATTAGATATTTAAATGCTTCAGTGGTTTTACTGCAATATACTTGTATATCTAATTTAAAGAACTTAAAGTCAGTGTGAGGCATGAACTTTTAAAATCCTTTTTAATGGTAGTAGATGCTGACACAATCTTCCTTCCAAGAAAATTGAGATGTAATTAAATCAGTTATTCTTGCTTATCGACTGATCCATATCGACTTTGAATGGACTCATACTAAAGGACAATTCAAAAGAAACCAGTCTCCTTGGGTGTCCTTAACTTAAGCAGCAATTTAGATTAAAACAGAAAAACTCAGAAACTCTAAGACTAAACACCCAGGAGCAATGGGCTGAGAACATTTTTCATTGTAGGACAAGATAGCATTCAAGAGTAGCAGGCCTGCTGAGTTAACAGTAGGACCGAAGGGCAATCTCACCCAGATAGGTCACAGTGCAGAAGAGTCTAAATGTTACTGCAGGACATTTAAAAACCACAGATAAGAATGATCTGTACATTATCTGTATATCCATCTATACAGATAATGCAGGCCTTACCTGCAGGCCTGGCTGTTCCCAAAATAATGGAACAGATCCTCGAATCTGTATGAAAGATGACACAGAATCATCTAAAAATATCACCTGTAGAAGAGAAAAAAAAAAAAAAGAAAGAAAACCCATATTCTTAATAGGCATTAGAGTGAAATAAATTTTAGGTTTTTAAACCTTAGCGAAACATACAGTAAATCCAATAATATTTATCCATTCCAAATTTCACAGTCCTAGCTAAAATACCTGTTATCTTCCTTATACTCTTTTCCCTTCTGCCCTAAGGAATCATGATTCATGAAAAAAAAACTGCAAGCTTTTATTACATAGGGCCTGAATGGCTCCTAAGAAAACAATAACTTTTTAAAAACTTGGCAAGACCTTCCAAAAGATCCTTCTATACCTCATGCCCCAGTGCAGTTAAATGGTAAACAGAGATTATCCAAAATGTAGAAATCGGTGACACAGCTTGAGAAAAGGAAGCCTGAAGGAGCCCAGAAAGCTGGTTCTGTGACGAGGTTAGCGGGGCCTCTGCCCGAGACGTACACAAAAGGGACCAACACACGGCAGATAATAGTGCGGCCTACTCACAACACATGCCCACATTTTGTTTACCAGAACCCAAAATACAGCGGCCTTTTAGGTACACAGGAGAAGAAACATTAAGGAGGCTGCTGTGTCACCGGCATCTAGTAATGTTAGCCTGACAGGAAACTTGGACAGAGAAACCATAAATCACACATTTCTAGGAGTCTAGACAACACACTTGTTGATATATACAAGTACTCCCTACCTGGATAAAATCCTACCGAAGTCAATGAAGCTTTGCACAGAGTTAGCCAGTCATGCACCATAGCTATTTGCAAGAATACGCTCCAGGAACAACATCGTGGTAATGAGATTATCGTAAGAAGTGAGCAAAGGGCAGCAAAGAACAATTAATAGCTTCTTGCATTTCTGCACAGTAAGGGCAAGCATATATAAATGCAGGAATTACAGTGGCTTTAAAAAACACCTTTTAGCTGAGCCATACTAAGTAACCATAGGGATGCTCTTAGCTTGCCCCAGCTGCAAAGCAACTCGCATTAGCCAAAATCTCTTTTGCTTGTGTTTCTAAGGTCTCACAACGAGCTCAGGCTAAAAGGAGAATGCAGTCACTTACAGCTCAGGCTAAAAGCAAGAGACACCTACAGCAACTCAGCTGATATGGTAGTTTAACAAGCTGGTATCTAACTCACACTCCTTTGTGTCCTTACCCTAAGTAACAAGGAAAACCAAGATAATCAAATTGTATAATCTGCTTATATTCTTTATTTAGCAGCAAAGGAACTATTCCAATACATGCTGGCTACGGATAAGAGCTGTGACCTGTTGATTTAGGGGAAAAAATGATCCGCACACTCTCACTTCTGTGGAGTTTAGCCGCCCAGCAAGGTGAGCTCTAGTGTAACACACCTGCTCCGTTTCCACAAAATTCGCAACGTGACCATCGTCGTTTGTTCCCCGGACGTTAAATCTGGTCCCAGCCCGTTCACAGCTGAGTCGTGAAATAAGACAAGCCTTTGCCTGCTTGTGAGCTGCGTATATTGTCCGTATCTCCACGCCACCACACATGAGGCGCAACAACCAGTCATCACAATTCACACCGTAGTGCTTCAGGTGCAGATGCAGCGACTGGTTCCTATCGGCGGAAAAAAACAAATAAAAACAATCCCTGAGGGTAATAAAGCACAGCTCAACTTATCAAGCTAGCTACTAACTTCTTACATTCACTACCACGAAGAAAAAGGCAAACATGTGTTGTAGAGTGTTTTATGAGAAAACTCGTATTTAAACATATTTAAAATACAAGAGAACGGGTTAGTTTGCAGAGTGAGACTATGGGATGTAGCCATGAAATTTAATGATCTTAAAAAATAAACCTTATAGACTCATGTTCTTTAACCAGCAAAAAGCAATACTCCAAGCTTGTTTATATTTTTCCACTCGGTCTTGCTTTGAGAAGCCAAAGATTACACACTAGGAAAATAAAGCCAGAATTCCAATTACAGGGTTACTTTTTGTGATGGAGAGACTCAATCCCACAAATCACCAACTAAAAATAAAGCTCAGAAAAAAATCTTGCCAACACACACTGATTTTTTTTCTATTATACGTCACCATAAGGTATCAGTGACTGCCCTGGTACAGACAAGCATGTAGGAATGCATTCACAACCAACTGATTGGCAAATTTCTGTAAATAGCAGTTTCATGCTTAGGTGCTGGTACACGACATGCTACATATAAACTATTCTAATAACAACCATGGATCAAATGAAAGAAAGATGTGCAAACTGCATATACTTCAGTATTAAGTAGTACCAGTTAACACTGTAGTGAGCAAGAAAGATTAAAGTTTAGGTTTTGTGAGATTTTTTTTTTTAAAATTCAATCTATTTCTTGCGTGGCTTCTGATCTTCCATGGAAACACTCAGTTATTTTAAAAGGAAGTGAAGTTTTCTGCACAGTAAAGAAAATTAACTCTAGCAAGACCCCTGGCCTCTGGAGTTCTATCTTAATTGCAAATACAATATTTATCTAAAGGTTGAAGGTATTAATTTTGATCTTGGCCTTTTCATTCTAAACTTGTGATTAAAGGAAAAATTACATCTGCAACTTACCAAATACCTTATCTCCTTTAAATATACTCGTTAACGAAGTTTCAAATCCTGTGGATCAAGTATGCTGTAATTTTACAGAAAAGTACATACATACATTACAGTCTAAGACCAAGAAAGGAAACAGAACTCTTCCCTGGGCAATCTGAGAACTTTTCTACAGAAAAGTAGGTAAGATCACTGAAATGCCTAAGAACTGTGTGGTTAAGAGGTCTTAAGGCATTAAGGCACCACACCTGCCAGAATACTCTCCATTATTAACTTTCAGCATTTACATGTCTCCGTCTTGGAATCTGGGCCACTCCACCTACCTCCTTTTAGGACTGATCCTTTCTGAACAAAAACGGGTAACTTAAAAAGTTTTAGAACACGGGACAAAATTTAAGATCCAGCTGATCTGACCAGGACCAGCAGGCTTTGGAATCTGGGCCACTCCATCTACCTCCTTTTAGGACCTCCTTTCTGAACAAAAATGGGTAACTTAAAAAGTTTTAGGTCATGGGACAAAATTTAAGACCCAGCTGATCTGACCAGGACCAGCAGGCACCCCCACTTTAAGCCCTGAAATAGAACCAGTCTTTTCCCCGAGGCGACGAGAGGCCCAAAGCAAGGTTCCTGGCCAGAACCCCTCCAAATCTGCACAGCGCCGCAGAAGTGTCTCTGAAGACCAGAGTTTCTCTTCCTTCTCGATATTGAGCCTTTTAGAGCAATCTGAGCCTACTACCTGCCTGATCAAAATAGTGGCAAATGGTCAACATATCAAATGAATATGCATCTCAGAACAGTTTTTTGCGTGTGTGTCTGGCTTATTCAATGACAGAGGGAAGCACCGGTAGCTTTGCACTTTCAAATAAGATGTTCCCAAGCCTTCAGAACCTTCCAAAGAGTCATGGGCAAATAACTAGACTTTTAACTAAGGCTGGCAACATGGGAGCAGGATTTGTTCATCTCTCCTAAATGACAGTATCACTGACATTATTTAAGGTGTCTACTGTCAGAAACAGTAGTATTTCATTTGCCTAGAATGCTCGGTGTGAAAATCTCTACTTTATTCAAAATTATTTGGAAAGAGATAGCGTATTTATCTGTGTAATAAAACTTTAACTCCATCAATATGTTCCACTGATATGAGAACCCATTTGAAAACTACATATTAACACCAAACTGTTTAGAATCTGCAATGCTCAGATGATTAAGAATTCCCTTAAACCTGCAATATTAATTTCCTTTTAAAAAAACACACAATTTATGAAGAATGAAGGACACAAAACCTGAAATACAACATTATGACAACTCTAGAGAACAGAGCATATCACAAACAGTAAAAGTCTGTTTCCTCCAATAAAGAAACTCCAAGTGGTTGTGAAAATGTTGCATTACAATACAATCATTTTTTCCTTAATGTATACCTTAGATTAAATAATCCTTGGGAGTTATAATAAAGCAATTCTAGGTTATCGACATTTATGGGACAAATATGTATATTTAGGAGCTGAAAAGGATAACAACTTTCCATAGATTATTTTGCACAGGAACATAATATTTTATATCACGTCTTATAAAACACATCGTGAACTCACCAGAAAAACCTATTGTCAGTGGTATGCTCTTGCATGCTGCGGTGAGCGTTGAGACTAAGATCTAAACTGACACCAGTTGCAGACCATGCAAAATAGAAGTTTCCTGAGTTCAGAACTTTGCGCACTTCTGAGATACGATCTTCGTCTGATGGATCAGTTCGTAATGATACGAATTCGGTGGAAGTAACTCGAAAAACTTCAGAATCCTGTATCTTTCCCACAGACATGCATCCTGTTACTAGAACCAGATAATGCAACAAGGTGTCTCCTACAAAACCAGAAAAGACACAGGAAGCAGAGGTAAATCTTTGTGAAGTGTGATGTGGATGAATTTATATTCTTAAATACTCTGGTTTGGCCAAAAGAGATGCAAAAAGAACAAACAAGAAGCCATTCCCTGATTCTACAAAAATAAGGAAATACAAATAGAAGAAACTATACTGAAAATAATAGAGATTGTGAAGATAGAAGTTATTTTTGTCTACACCCACATTTCTGGCAGTGCTTCAAACGTTTAAGTTACGCTACAAAGAAAAAAAAAAAGGAACACAGTTCCTGCCTGAGGATTCTGTGCTGTGAAGTTTTACAACAGCACCCCTATCTTCTTTTACATTTTTAAGATTAAGATTTTAAACAGTTTACTCACCAAGGTTTAGCCTTAGTACACCCAAGAGCCCATATGCATCCATTACTTTGGAGTAGGTACTCTTGATGGTGTCTTTCTCTGCAGATGCTATGAGAGAAAACAGAGCACACTGAAATGGAGAAGACTGTGCACAGCCAGGAAAAATGAGTTTACTCTAAATTGAAAGTCAAAGAGACTACAGCAATAGTGCTGATATGAAATTCCTGGAGAGAACCCAAAATTTATTATATACATAATTTTATAATGGAAAATGAATATTGGATTTTATGACAGCAACCCTGTGCTACTTGCATGGTCTTGCAAAAACTCTAAGTGATAGTAAAGTAGAAAATGGGCATATTTAACCTAATCTCCTAATATGCGAAGTACCTAACACAGCATTCTTCTACAAGAATGCTCTGCTATAATTATTTAGAATGAGAACAGCTAGATAATGCTTTTTCCAAAAAAACATTCTCCTTTTTCCTAAGAATAAAACTATGAAGTGGCAGTACTATTTCCAGATTCCTGAACTGCATTATCACACTGGTAGTTCAACAAGTTTTGGATATATTCCAAGCAAAACAAGATAACAGTATTTAAAAGCTCTTAAAGCTGTCTTAAACCAAGAAAAAAAAAAGGCATTTTTGAATAGAAATTACTTAGCAATATTTTAGGAAAAAGAAATATATCAACCATTAATTATGCAGGAAGGGTCAATTTTCACGTACGCTTTGGAACTTCCCTCTGCACTTAAAACACCCCGTGAACAAGTCTGAGGGCAGAGCCAGACGACGGGGCTGCTGCAGAGCTGAAGTGGGATCCCGCCTGCCCTGCGCTTTTGTTCCTGACTGTGACTGCAACTGAAGCACAAAGACTGACAGTTCCAGTTGTGCCACTAGATCCAACTGTAGAGATTTCTGGATCACTAAAGAGCAGCACCTTCTCCCTCCTCTACACCAATTTTGCCATTGACACTAAAAAAAAAAAAAACTAACAATTTGACATACAGAGAAGCGTAAGCTGAAAGACGCAGCCCTCTGGCAGTCCCTGTGCTATTCCACATTAGCTACATTCTCCAGGGAAACTGCTACTGTTACAGAGAAGCGTAAGCTGAAAGACGCAGCCCCCTGGCATTCCCTGTGCTATTACACATTAACTACATTCTCCAGGGAAACTGCTACTGTGTCTCTTTCCAACGAGTACGCCCGAAGCTCACAACAGTTCTAGTTGTGCACAAGTCTATCCCTTCTATTCATATGCTTTCCAGTCTGTTACTTCAGTGAATCAAAGCCTTAATACAGATGGAGCAATTACTTTACTTCAGCCTGAAATTTAAGCTCATCCAATGTTTAATTAATTGCACTTTAAGAAAGCTTCTGTAACTATTTATGCCGATACACTGTAATCCGGAAGCTGATGACAAAAAAAAATGGCAGCAACATGGTTCTTCCCAAGGGCATCATCCATGACAAGTGTTATGAATCACAGCTGATCCAAACACCTTATTTACAGACGATGAGAGCGATTTTGTCAGCACTGCCAAACCACATTCTTCCTAGATCACTATTAGCCTGGAAAGAACAACCTCTGAACATCAAAGACTGGTTCTTACGATCAGTCTTCCCAGTACACATTTAATGTCGATACACTTCCCTAAACTCAGCTTCCTGCAACCAGAAAACTGCCATGTTCTGCTTTCACATGTCAAAGTATTGATGGAAGATGAGATTTGGTTTCAGACTAACATGTTTTTGCAGGATTTTTCTTACGGGTTCCTGGCAACATCTAATAGCGTTCAAAACAACAGCTTTTCTGTCTTCTGTGGATTTACTTGTTCTGTTGCACAGAATGCCTGTTATTTTTGCTAAGCTTTAATAAATAAATGCCCAAAATAAATTAACCAACTCAAAGTCGGCAGACTGTTCTGCAAAAAAAGCTACCACTAGTAAAGTAGCAAAAGGTGAGGAAAACAAACACAAAAATGGAAGTAGAAAAACCTATCACAGCTAGTCATTTTTAACCACGCATTGAGCAAAAGCATCCAGGTTTCACGTCATAGGATTCAATTACATTATATCTAGCAGAGCATGAGCTCTGATGAAAATTTTTCCACGGTTAGAGAGTATTTTCTGTCTCATATGTGGCCCGCCTGCTGCTACACCAACCTACACTTTTCCCATCTGTTTTGGTGGCTAAATTCCTCAGCATAAAATGACAAATATTCCACCCCTCCAAAGTTCAGTTTCAGCTTCAGGAAAGGTGCAAGAATTTCGAGATATTTACCCTCAATCATGACTGATACTGGCCAAAGCAAAAAATATGCTGAAAGGATAAACAGATCGGTATCTCACAAGCCTCTTTTCCATAAGAAAGTGAGCTAAAAAGAAAGCAGTGGCAGAACTGCAGGGACAGCAGGGAAGGCAGCAGCTGACACACAGTCACGACAAACTGCAGCGCCGCATTGCTCTCTCTGCTGCCCAGGAGCAGGAGACCCACGAGACCCTGTGCAGGGATTTTGGGGGTTGATAACCACAAATGCACCAGCTGCTTTTCAGGATAAAGCATACAAAAGAGCAGGGGCTGGCGGCCCCGGTCGGGGCGGAGCTGCGGGAGGCTGCGAGTGGCAGGGACAGTCCCCAGGGCCTGGACACCAAGGGGCAACAAAACTATTAGAAGAACATGCAGGAGGCTGCAGCGGTTTAGATCCAAAGTTCCATATTCTGTTAACAGTGGAAAAAAAACAATTTATAGCATCTCCGAAACTGCTAGTCATAGGCTTTCCTTCCTTTTAGTGGTGATAGAAGAAAAGCAATCCTCCAGCCAGAACAAATTCGGACTGCCACTGCACATGAAATTTCCCATTTCTAGAGGCACCAAAAACCTAATGAAAAACTACTTCATTAAAAATCAACATCTGCCACCTTTGCCTTCACATCAGCGCCTACTGCAAAGAGATCTTTTTTGGCTCAAAAAACTAAAGTGGCATAATGATGCTCACACTGCTTAAATTTGTGCCTTTCCATACTTCTCAGCACCAAACAGTAAAATAGACGAATCAGTAAAAAATAATGTGCTCTGCAACTGTTCAGATCCTCCTCATCAGCAAACATTTAAGGGTTCCTTCTCCACCAACAATTTATCTCAAGTCTGCAAAGATGTATTCTCTCTCCTTTCACTGAGCATGCACATCCTCTACCAACAATTTATCTCAAGTATGCAAAGATGTATTCTCTCTCTCTCCTTTCACTGAGCATGCACATGAGGCATCAGATGAAGTTGGATACACAAGAGGGCCTGAAATTACAAAAATAAGTGGCTTAGAGCAAGCTCTACAACATCTTATATCACTGCACACAAAAACAACTTCCAATTTCCTCTAGGACTACCTGAAGTTACGAACTTGGTAAACTGCACATCACTGAAAATCTAAAATAATCTAGACAGGAGGAGGGAGAACATTTCCAGGCCCACTTCCTCCCCAATACTCTTAGCGAATGGCAATGTTTCAGAACAGTAGGTTGGTCTAGGGTAAGGACTGCAGACTTCTGACTTTGATTTATGAATTTCATATCTCAAAAAAAAAAAGGCAGCTAAAATAACTATACATTCAGACAAACATGAAGTCCTAGGAATTAATCAGCCTGGAGAAATAGACTTCTCTGTTCCTTTTTAAATAGTTGAAAGGAAGGAGACAAAACGGAGGCTGTCTGAAAAGAAACACATAAAATTATGTAACTCACCAGGAAGAATGAGTTAAGATGCACAACTTCTGCTGAGAGATACTAGCAACTAGGATGACAACTTTCATATAGAACATCGGAGCTAGCAGGTTTAAAATTGCAATGTAGAGAGGCCCATAATAAGGACATTAAACAGTAGACATAATGCAAGCATACATTTACCTGTGGATAAAGCTGCATGCAAAATACTACAAGGCAGTGTTCTATTATTTGCTGTCAGTTGAGATTTTAAGGAGAAAGGAAATTAAAGGCAACTTGAATAGACCTAATAGAATCTTGTCAATTCATTTCTAAAACAGATACAAAAATTTGCTATTTGGTAGTACAAAAAAAAAAGAGGAGAACTCAACATTTTTAATTCATTCTCAATGAAACCCAGTAAGTATCATTAGCGGTATCAAGTGAAGGAGAAAGTAACTTCAGGTCAATCTTTATTAAAAATTAATAGGTCATGGTATTTGAAAATTGTTATGTCTCACTGTTCCAAGTTAAATCACTTACTCTCATGTAACAGGACTCTCACAACTGATTTAAAGGATTATGTGAACCCTCTTGCTGTTGCACAAATGAAAGCTCTTCAAGGTTTTGCTCAAATTTGGAAAGTTAAGAATCCTATATTTAAATTAAAGCCAACCCTTTAAAACTACCGTATAGGTGAGACACTATAATCAGTTATGAGAGTGGAGTTACCTCTTCAACTTGGGAAACAATCAGCCAAAGAACCACCTATGACTTACTTTATATTATCATATTTTTGTTTATGAATATATGCCAATGAATAAATGCATAGAAAACTGGAAAACAGATACTTAAACCTGCTGTAATTCATCTGATTTTAACTTTGCATTATTTATTTTTTTTTCCTTCATTGCACAGCTTGGATTATATGAGATATCATTATTCTACAGAGACATTTAGATGTTACCATAATGTACAGATATCTTAAGAATGAGGGGACGAAAACTCAAAAAAACAAATCACATACACTGAAAAAAAAATCAGATTTTACTTCCAGTGTCTAGCAAGTACATTTAAATACTGCACACCAGTAGAATTACTTTTTAGAATAACAAAAAACAACAACAAAAAGCAACAAATGTGCAAATAAAAGGTACGGTGGCTTCACTAGTTTTTCAGTACTATGCAAATTTCCTTACATTACTTACACTGCTGAAGAGGAAACAAAAAAAAAGAAAAAAAAGCATTAAATAGAGCTGATCTACCTAACAGCCTAAAAGTACTTGTTTTGCACCAAATTTGGTGGAATATTTTTGGCCAGTTGTATGTGCTCAGTTGAAAATAAAAATCAATAGCACCAGTAACGTATAGAAATCTTTTTTTTTTTAATATTGAATATTTTAAACT